ATCGTTGATTAGGTAGTCGGATAGCCAAGGTGCAAGATTCCCACCTTGATACCCGCGACAACCTTCCAATATGAGGGTTTTTGCATGTCAGCTACACCTGACGATGCCTTAGATTCCACCTTGCAGGGCTTATTCGCCTCCGGTTTTGGTCAATCATCATTTGAGTACAAACGTTTGCAAACCTGCTCATGGGGGTTTCTTTCTCCACCTGAGATAGATTCTGCTTTCACCACTCAAGAATTTAGTGCAAGGCGATTGGTTTCATAAGGTACCCCGCTCTTGAGGAGACGACTCAGTCGTTTCCTGGCTGCACCACCAAACCTATTTGTTAGGTTCAGTTATTGGATCAGGAGTTGGGGAGTTGAGAAGCTCTCGCTCCTGAACTAAATTTACAGGGAGGTCAGTTGGAGTCGTAAACTAGACATCCATCTCTTCTGTAGACTTGCTCTTGATCTAAATTTACAGGGAGGTCAGTTGGAGTCGTAAGCTCGACATCTATCTCCTCTGTAGACTCGCTCCTGATCTAAATTCACAGGGAGATCAGTTGGAGTCGTGAGCTCGACATCCATCTCCTCTGTAGAGACAGCTGATAGGCTCAGTGTCATTCATCCTCTCGGGACGGATACACACACCTTAGGATTAGGCCATCGTTGGGATGCTATTCAGTTAGGTAGTAACAGAACCACAAGTGATTCTGTTATTCCCGTATTCAGCAAGGCTACTTGGAAGCAAGTATTCGATGGCTGGTTTGCTCAATATCCCACATCCCAAGCCAATGCATGCGCCAAAAACAGTATGCACAGTGGTTCAAGCAGTGAAAAATGAACAAGAACAGCCAACTTGCCATCCTTCAATTTACTAGTAATTTTAATAGTAACTCCAATTATGTAGATGGAGATGGAGCTGTTGCTAGTTAACAATATTTCTCATAGACGAAGGTTTCATACATGCAGTCGAGCCGTGTTGAGACTAATCGGCACTTTGCCACCTCGAAACCGGTCTGCAGGTGATCTACACGAATGATTTCAACATGGTCCTGCAGGTGGATGAACGAGAAACATCTGCGAGGCTAACATTATGCAAGCTACCTTTCTTATTATTGTCTGTCGAATATAATTCAATATCCAGCGTGGTATTAGCTGAGGAGTTAGTTGTTTTCTGGCAGGCATTCACCAGAACCTAGTGTGTAGGTAGTTGGTAGATATGAATGTTATATTTATTCTCTTTCAAGTACTCAAATCTGAAATCATTCATGTAGGTCAGTCAAATTTTTGACCACTTGCAGTATTCTCCCTTTGATACTCACGCTGAATGGAATATCATACATGATTGATCCGAATCAATTTTGAATGGTACGTTTCCACAGAAAATGTGAAATTATTTTGCATTCACTTTTTGATTGACCATTTTATAATCAGGAAACAAGTGTTTTCGAATACTTCAGTTATTTTCTTGTCTCGTCACTTTGAATTGCTTAACGATAAATGAAGCAAAACAATATTTGATTATGTAAGAAATATACCTACTGAAATTAGAAGACTTCGTTATGAATGGAAGTCTTTCTATATGTTTATGTGAATTCTTATCCATTTAAAATAATATCATCATATCAATTTCTTTCGGTGGTGGATGAACTTTCTCTCACTATATGCATTTTTTTAGATAAACCCTTCCTGTGAAACTATGCTTTCATAAGCAATAAAACTTTCGAATTGAAATGAATCACCAAAACAACTTCTCCTATCAGTAGATCAAATGCTACCATTGATAATCTGAAACAACTAAGAGAAATATGAGTATTTAGGCAAATGTTGCCCACACCAGCTCTCAAAATGGGTGTTATAACGCTTATATACAGCGTGACTCACGGTCGATGGTAGGTTAGACGTTTCTGGAAAACGCAAGGCATGATTTTTCTGAAAATTTCACCTCTCACATTTCCTTACCTGTTCTATCGATCTAAAATATTTTCAGCATTGCGGCGTTCCCACTTCGATCAAAAAGTCCTAGCAACTTTATTTTTTTAAATGGAACACCCCGTATATTAATACATTTTCGGAATCGCTCTAGTATTTTAATACTTTTTTGTCAATAATGTCATATACCTATCTCTATCTGTTTTCAAGATAAAAAATAAATTGTGCTAAATATGGTCCAAAACATAGCCTTAACTGAAATTAAGTACAGCAGTACTCTCAATTCATGAAAAGTTGATATTTTGATGATAGTTTGGACAAACTTGAAATATTTAAATAATACCAAAAAATCGACTCCATATCATACAGGGCGTGCTGAAATTACTATTATTTCCATTGTGCATAAAAGTAGTCAAAAGTTCATTTTTTCAAATGAAAACCCCTGTATATTACTCGGTAAATTGAAAGATGGTGAAAAATGCTTCTAGATGATATATCATATCCCTATACCTGAATCGTCAAGTTTTCTCAATAAAGTCGCTTCTTCTAGAAACATTATTTTTTTTAGAATTTGGATTTAGGTAGCAGTGGAATTATCAAGCTTATAGCAGTTCGGTTTTTTTTTATAAGTCTTCTGCTTTTAGGGCTTGAACTTTGGTAAATTTATATAATGGTATATTTATAAATCATGCTTTGCGTTTTCCAGAAACGTCTAACCTACCATCGACCGTGGGTCACGCTGTAAAAAAGTGGAGAAAAAACTATAGAGCAATCTCACTCACAACTAGTCTTGATAAAGTTCTCGAGAAGGTTATTCAAAAGAGATTGAATATGTTTTTTGAAAAACACCAGTTGTTGTCCGAATCACAACACGACCTAGGAGATTATATGTCCACCCAAGACCCAATAAAAAAACTAACCCAGAAAATTCATTCATGTTTGGATGAATCGAAACCCTCTATTGCTGTTTTCATAGACCTTTCGACAACGTCGACCACTCTATCTTACTGCATCTTCTGGACGATATGGGAATTAGAGGTATAGCGAATAGTCTTTTCAAAAGTTATCTTCACAACAGAGTGCAAAGGGTAAAAGTGGACAACCATATAAGTGGAGAAGAAATTATTAGATGTGGTGTGCCTCAGGTGACCGTGTTAGGATCAATCCTATTCAATATTTACTTGAACAACCTTTTTCCACAAGACATCAACTCCAACATTCCGAGTTTCGCCGATGATACTGTGTTGTTTTGCCAAGACGAAAACTGGTTTAATTTGAAATAGAAATTAGAACCTGACCTTGATCAAATCAAATTGTGGTTCGACCACAGGCTCTTATCTATTAACTTTAATTCAATTTACCATTCAGTAGTTATGACAACTCTCTAACAGAATATAACTTTGAAATCTTCAATACGGAAGTCATCAAACCCACGAAGAAAATAAAATATCTTGGAATAATTTTAGACAGCAATCTCAGATGGAACCAGCACATAGACCACATAGTTAAAAAATTACGTTGCACACTTTACAAACTCAAACGGATAGCAAACATACTCAATCAAAAACAGAAAATTATGTTATATAAGAGTTTAGTAGTCCCCATCTGAGATATGGTATAATTGGTTGGGGTGGAGTGTCGAAAACTCTTCTACATTCTCTTGACGTTATGCAGGAAAGATTTATCAGATGTGTCCTACGAAAAGGTTACAACTACTCTAGCGATCTACTCTATTTAAAATCTGGAATATTCGATCCCAGACAGCTGTTATAAATATTACTGCTGTACAGCATAAAAATAAAAAAGAGTTAACTCTTATCACCATAAATATACTACACGTAGGAATCATAGTATCTTCATACCATTAATGCTCAAATCAGTTGGACAGAAATCCTACCCGTATTTAGGATCAAAACTCTACAGTTTTCTTCCTGAAAATTTAAGATGTGAATCAGATCTCAAAAAATTTATGACAAAGATTAAATCATTTGTCAAGAATATACCACGAGCAGAGATACATAGATGAATATAAATTTAAATACTTACTTCCACGATTGTTGATATATAATTGTGTATTAATTTTTTCGTAGTCTGGAACTCCTATGATTAAACTCTCTATATCCATTGATTGTTTAATTCATTTATATTCTGTTCAAATCTGTCCAGTTCAAACTTATATTTTTATCCATACTTAGTACCCATTCAATAGATTAGTTTATTTTTAATTCTTCATATTCTGTTCAAATATGTCCAGTTTAAACTTATATTCTTATTTATATCTAGTACTTATTCCAATAGATTGATTGGTTTTATTTATTTATATTCTGTTCAAATGTAGCTATTTCAAATTTATATCTTAGTACTTGATTTAATGCGTGAATCTAATTCAATGTCAGATTCGGTATTCTCATTCCTTATACACAGGCAGATCATTTTGCCTCGTAAGATGTATTTTATTTGTTCACTGTTCATTTCTATATGTACATGTATATTTACTTTAAACAATCTCAAGAAAGTGAATAAATACATAGTATTATTATTATTATTATTATTACGAATACATCTGACGAAGTTTCTAAGAAATCATTGAACATTCCGCCATTTCTTGTTTGTTCGTTATATTACCGAAAAATTTCTGGAAAATGAAGTTTTTGGCCTCCTTTCTCTGCACCTTGATATAAAAATGTGGGAATCTTCCAAAGAAAGGAAGGAAGCAATCAATTTAAAAAATTTACTCTATACAAAGATGTCTAAATCATGCAAAGAAGTAACTTTCAGGCACAAACTGAAAGGAAAAACCCTCTCGAAATAGCTATTTTCATATAAACATTGAATTACACGAAAGAAAAATACCTGAACAAATATTTTTATATGAACGCTGAATTTTACGAAAAACACCCTTCTCCATTCTGTTTGTATTCCAAACGAATGTTTATAAGAAAAAAGCTGTTTGTGGCGGCTCTTTCCTCCAGTTTGTGTCTTGTAGAAGGAAATGTAGATGGCCAAAAACTTTCTTTGCCAAAAGTTAATCTCTCCTGAAAATATACCATTTCAATTCAAACAAAATATTTCGTTTGATTCCAGGGGACTTCAGAGATTTGAAACTACCACCATCAGAATTGAATCAAGTCATCGAGCTGCTGCGTTCCAATTCGGAGTTCACCATTTCAGCAAGACTTAAACAAGAACCGCGCAACACCGGATCAATTATTTCCTTCGCACACGGAATCAACAGGTACTGCCATTCCATCATTGATTCAGATAAGAATAAAATTTTTCGTATGAGATCGATTCCCAAGAAATTAAGGAAACGTTGGTTAGATCAAACTCCTCATCCATCAAATATACAACTTAAATAAATCTACAATTTTCTATTATTGAGTCCGAAATTATTAATTGAGACGTGATTAGGGATCCTGTAGTCCACGCAGAATCTGGTCGTTACATCTTTTGAAGTAACACTACCATAGTTCATGTTCAAAAAGTAATATGGGATGGAATCAAAGGATGCAATCTTGCCAGGATCACCTTGGGCGACCCTGGGAAGCTGGCAACGAAGAAATATCTGGCGATGACCATGAAAAATTTACGCTTAACAATACGATTTCTGACTGGCCACTGTCAACTAAGGAAACATCTCCATAATATGGGGCTAGTGGACACACCTCTATGCAGGATGTGTGAACAGAAAGATGAGACTGTCAGGTATGTCCTATGCAAGTGCCCGGAGTTATCGTCAATAAGAGAGTGTGTGTTCGGCGAGTCTTGGCCTTCACCTGTCGATATAAAGGAGATGTCTCTCAGTGACCTGTCGACCTTCCTGGAAAGGACAGGTTGGACGATGACCTAGGAGGACAACTCCTCGGGAGGATGTACACACATGTGTACTTAGGTCACATGTGACCTAAGTGCTGTAGGCTTACAGTCACCCTCCCTACTCTACAGACAATATCATTAGAGGAGGTGTCAATAGAAGATGAAGGAAAGAACAGTAATGAACTTCTGAGGACAGTTCTTAAGCAGCAGAAGGAAAATTAATCAGGATCAGAATCTACTTGATTATTTCATTCCTCCATTACGCATTCCTTCAACATGTCAACGCAACCTTTATTTCTATCATCAACTTTATCAGTTTGGTAATGTTTGCATATATAAGTCCGAATATGACTTAATTCTGCAACTGTCGAATTTCATTGTAGAAAATACGTGGATTTCTTCCATTACAAACCTGTTTGGCTCACATAGTACTTCTATGAGAACATAGCTACAAGATGCAGGAACAGTTGATGAGTTCCGTTATAACGAGCAAATACTTTGTAAAGGAGCCCCTCCAATTTTGTCAACTTCCTCATTGCTTTGCACAAACTCATACCTCCTTTTTATGGTTATTTAGTTTGCTACGATTATTGAAAGGGTTCTGTTGATTTCATTCATTCAACAGAGATTCCTGAAATCTTAATTAGAACTTTTCACTCAAGAGTTTTTTTTCTATCTTTCACTGCTCTAACTTTGACATACTCTGCTACCAAATCAAGGATATACCTGTGACATGACGACTTGGATTTTTTGGATATACAAAAATTCCACACTTCGTATGCACTTTCAAATTTTCTAAGAATTGTGAATGATGTAATTACTTTTTTGGAGGGAGTCAATTTTGGTCATTCATTCACTTACCTCACCAGGTTAGGTTAGGTTAAGTTATGTCTGAAGTGAGTGGGTCTACTCGACCCTCCACCGCATCCCGCAAGGGTTAATTGTAGCTGACACCTTTTCACATTCAACCAAATGAATCCAGCTTCTTAACAAAGCTGATTAGTTTGTTTGGTGAGTGGTCTTTCAGGTCAGATTGTAAGACTACGGCTCTGCCGAACTCTAAAAACAAAGTATACGCTCTGCTGTTTCATTATTTTCCAAACAAAGGCGACAAACACTATCTTCTGACAGTCCGAGTCTCTGCATATGATGATTGAAATGACAGTGACCTGTAAGAAGACTTCGTAAGAAGACATCGTAGTTCATCCCTACTATAGTTCAACAACTGTTTGATATCAAGCATCGAAGGGTAAATAAACACCTTGAAGTGAGCCAATCCTGGAAGATTCTGCCAGAAGTTCATAAATCTTCTTGCCATCCAGATGTTCAATCTTTGTTTGGCAAAGCCCAAAGCGATGCCAATGACAGGTTCTGGTCCGATGAAGCTGCTTGCAGCACCCTTCTTTGCAAGGAAGTCGGCAGCTTCATTGCCCTCCAAGCCAGTATGGCCAGGAATCCAGACCAGAGACAATCTGTTAAGTCTTCCTATCGAGGAGAGTCGTTTTTGGCAATATGCTACCAATTTAGACGTTCTAAAGAAATGAACTTTAAATGTGCAAGCCTGTCTCAGATATACATACTCAGTAGGTTGAATGGACTGACGCCTATCAGAAAACAACTACTTCCCTGGCTGATACCACGAAAGGCGTTGGATTATATCCGACAGACGTCAGTGCAGAAATCTTCACAGAAAATTTCCTGCATATGCAATTGGCAAAACAACTGAAAGGGTCAACCCTCAATTTTGGAACGGGTACACTTCCAGACCGGTTTTGGGCTCATTAGCCACTCGACAGTGCAAGATAGTGACCATCATTGACCTAAAGTCAATGAGTTTCTCTAATTGAAAATCGAAATTATTTCAGAATATTCAATTCCCCGTCCTAAGTCAGAGCGAACAGCACAAATGTCACTCCATCTAGTGGACGAGGTACTAACCTTATTAAGGTTATAAGGTATGAGGTTATAAGGTAGAAAAACTTTCTTATTAGTCAGTGGGCTATGCTTGAAAACAGGCAGTAAAAAGATCAAAAGAAATGAACTTTAAATGTTCAAGCCAGTCTCAGATATACCTACACAGTAGTTTCAACCTACTGTGTAGGTATATCTAAGTTCATTTCTTTACTGCCTATCTTCAACCATAGCTCACTGACTGATAAGAAAAAATTCAGACGTTGTTCGGTAGGAACCAAGAGCTTTCAACGCTGCTTGACTGTCCGAGAATATTTTCATTGACTTGTGTCTGAGGTTGTATTTATCCAATCTCTCCGCACATAATTCAATAGCGTTAATTTCCGCTTGAAATACAGTCGCATAAGTTCCTAGGCTGGTAGATATCTCTGTCCTGGGTGTGCGACTAAAAACACCTGCACCAGAACCGAAAGATGTTTTTGATCCATCTGTGAACCAACAACTATCTGCTCTAATATTTCCTTCTCCCGGAGGATCCGATCCTCTCTACTCGGGAATAGTTAACATTTGGAGACATAAAGTCAGATATCATTTCCTGAATGCTGTGACTTCCAGTGAAAACCAACAGTCAGTTGCACTCTGCAATAAATTGATTTGTGCAATTGTCAACTCACTTCACTAACATTTTTTCAAAGATTTTTCGGCTAGGAAGTTTTTAAATTGACATTCTGTATACTGGTGTCGCTGATGCCTGACCTACTAGTGTCGTTTGGAAGATAATATACAGGGTGTTGATTAAGTATGTACCATAAATTTAACAGACAATTCTTCAGGTAATTTTAAGACGAAATGTTCATATAAACATGGATCCGCAAATCCTTCTTTCTCAAGATACAGTGGCGTACATTTTCAAGTCAAAAATATTCGTTCAAATCCCGCTCGAGACGCCATTGGACTTAATAAATTGAATCACATTCGGGCTAATTCAGCTCCTTGATTATATAAAAACCATTGCCAAATTACAACAAAATTAGGTGAAGGATTTTTAAGATATTTACGAATAACTTTTTTTTAAATTTTTATTTTAACACCCTATATCTTGAGAACGAAGGATTTGCGAACCCATGTTTATATGAACATTTCGTCTTGAAATTACCTAAATAATCGCCTGTTGAATTTATGATACATACTTAATTAACACCCTGTATACACATCCTATTCAATTTTTCAAAATGATTGTTTAATTTTCCAGGTACCTAGAACTTCAGTCGAGTAGCCGTGCAGACGAAATTCGTCTATCTTATATTACCAAACTAAATTCCAAAGTGTACGTCGAAAAATTTCCCTACCGTTTGAATGACAACAAGTGGCACGATATTGTGGTATCCGTGAGTGGACCAGAAGTGGAATTGTTAGTAGACTGCAAATCGCTCTTCAAGAGGGTGCTGAGGATGGGAGAACCAATCAGAAACTTTCCGGGGACGACGCAGTTGTGGATAGGACAGAGAAACAATATGACTTATCCTTTTAAGGTGAGTGAGGTGGAATAAATCCAAAATGAAGTTCCTTATAATTTGTTTTCATGTTTCGTAAAATATCTTATGTGGTTTTGGGAAAGAAACGTTTGTTTGGCTTTATACAAATTTATACAAAAAAATGTGGAAAACCACCACCAATTTTCAACAATAAACAAACATAAAAATAATATATTGCTATTTTCCCCGTTGGTTCGATGATAATTGTACACTGGACAATTGAATTCAGTCCTATTTCACCACTACACTGCCAATATAACATAAAAGATTCAACTGAACTTTAGATTAATATTCGAATGTCTGTCGCCTCACTATCTCACTTCGTACCGCACTTCCAACTAGACTTGTCCCATCTGTCTATTGATAGTGTTTATAGTGTCATCCCCAAAATATGCATCATATGGGAAACTAATTTATTAATGGTTTTTCGATAAAATGTTATTCTTGATAAAAGTTTGTGCATCCCCTAAAACTGAATATGCACCAACAAAATACAGTAAAACACACGTAATGTACGAGGAGCTTTCAAATATTCGATTTTGAGACAAGAGTGAAGTACTCTCATTTTGAAAAATCTTGGGAAATGTTATTTAAAAAAAGTTGTTCAACAGTGAAATATACATCTAGGTTTGAAATCATGGACATCTGAGTGAAGTTTTATTATTTCACCCATTTTTTTTAAATGGGGTTTACGGAAAAAAAATTGTAACCATTGTAATTTTTTTTGAAGAGTAAAAAAATTTTCAAAGTTTTTGCTGCAAAGTTATTTTTATTTTGTGTGGAAACCAAATATTACTCAAAATTATACGGTATTTCAACAAGAACTTAATATTCGATAACATCAAATCACAAAACAGAAAAATAAAATAGGTTTTTCGGAACAAACTCATTAATTTTCTGAAGATTTTCTTGTCCAAAATAATTCAACAAAATAATCTGTATGGATCTGTAATAATATGTATATAATAATGGAAGTCTCTGGAAGCCAATGAGGAAGTGTCTGGAAGACTCTCGAAGTCACAGTCGATGACGGAGATCAGTGGCGGTCGGTGTTATTTCTTTCGGGGAATCATTTATAATAATATTTATCTTATGAGGAAACTTCGATGTCGATTCAAACGATTAAAGGAAATGTGTACCTATTCAAAAACAATTGTTGAAATCTGCAAACCAAGGTATAGCTAATTAAGAACCCATACTGATTACAATCAGCCCATTTTCTTTATTATATAATTTTTGTGTTAAGATTGAGCTATGTCGAAAATTTAGGTATTTCTGTTCCTTTCGCATGATTCCTCAAACTTCAACTTCCGGTTGTGAGACGTAATAATATAATAGTTATCTATACGTACCATATTGAACAAATTTCACTTTAGAATCTTTTTACTCTGTCATTTTGATTTCGTGCTTTGCTCAAATGTACCCTAAAGCAATCAGAAAAAGAACACTATAATTATCATCCTGAAATTATCAAATATATAACAGCTTATCAGAATATATCACAATATACAGATTATGAAACTTGCCATTGTGTAGGACAAGAACATTTAAACATCGGCGGTATGACACAAAAATGCAAAATCATTATGATGTCTGTGAATAAAGTAGCAAAAATGTGTTGAAAATGCCTTTCTCAATTTTCCTTGATATGTTTTCCACCAACGCTAGATTTCCGAACTGTTGTTAAATCTCTCTCTATGAATTTCTTCAGAAACCAAAAAAGGAAAGCCTAACTAGCCAAGTGGATTGCGAATCATCAACGCAAACCTATTAATCATCAAAATGTTGAAAGGGATAATACGGTCAAAAAAGCTTATTCTTGAATTTTTCGATTTGTATAAAGCTTCCTGAAAACTGAAATCCAGCATTCCGCTGAATAATCTGAAATACTGAGGCAAATATAATGTTGATCTCGAAAGATGTCTATGAAACAGCAATATTTTGGTGAGGATAAAATATTCTGACCTGAAACAGATTGATCATTTCGAAACAAAAATGGGTTTTTTAATATCGCCGTCCATCTTTGGTCCATAATTTTTTTGTTTACATCAATGATATAGTCGTTAATTTCTAGAATTACTGTCTCCAATTTCTGTTGATGACAATGGCATGATAACTTACCTATGGATGGAAAAGAGAAAAGCACGCGGCAACTGACCTATAAGTAGTTTCGAAGTATAGGTCTAATTCAATTGTCGATATCAATAATCGAATCATCCGGAGAAAGCTTGCTCTGAAATAATTTTTTTGAATTCTTGTTACATTGTTTCTTTTCTTTCTTCTATCAGCATTCCTCTTCATTTTAATTATTTTTATTATTTGCATATTATTGACAAATTATTTATCGCCCAACCCATTTCTTAATTCATATCCATTTCAGGTCACACACATTTCTTTTTATTTTGATGGTATCTTCTTCTCATTTTTATACGTTTTCAGACGTTGCAAATGAAAACCTCTAACATGCACCAAGAAAAATTGTCAACAAAAAATGAGAAATTTTCTGGTAAATATAAACTGTATAGAAGGCTGGCGCAAAACCCAAAAATTCAATAGGACCTCCCAAGTATCGACAAATTTTCCATTTGTAAGTTGCAATCATGAAAGAATTTTCGTCAATGGAGTTTCTGTTTTTCCACAACAACGAGCTATGTTTCAGATTTGAGGAAAATTTCATCCCCATTTTGGTTGAGAAATATATAAAAATGACGAAATTTTCAATGTGGTAACGTAAAATATCATCTGACATTTCTGAAAATCATTGTCATAAAATATTTCATTAATTTTGTTGACACCAGAACTTACACCAAAATAACAAATTTTAGATGATGTTTGAATTCAATAATTGCCGAAGGAACGGGTATTCGGAAATATATATTTTTAAGGAAAAAACTCAAGCACTACAGGAAAATCCTTAAGGCGCTGTAACAGCGGTGTCTGTGCGAAAGTAGTACATCCCATTGAATTTGAATCGCTGGAGATTAAACCTATTTGGAAAAATTTTCGCAGGAAATGTACTCCAGATGAACGCAGTTCTCCAAATGAAAGAGATCTCAAACAGTGAAGTTCGAGGTGTACTGAGTTGAACCTCAAAACGATGAGCAGCCACAGTCCGTCTCGTGTTTCTGATATGTACCGCTCTTGGTGGTATCAAATGTGCCAAGTCACTTAAACACTTCCCTTGAACGTATCTATAGAACAGAGACAAATCCCCAACCTTTCTTCGATGTTCCAGACTATCAAGGTTGCAAGTGATGTTTGAGTCTCCAATCAAGCGGATAGTTTTTTTCTGGATGGAATCCAGCAGCTTCAAGGTATTTTTAGGGGCGGAGCTCCATACATGAAAACAATACTCCAGAGAAGGTCTGATCTGTGCTTTATAAAGCATCAAAAGTTGCGGAGGTGTGTACAGTTTTTTTGTTCGGAACAGTGTTCCAAGCTTTTGAGAAGCAGCCTTTGCAATTCCAGCGACATGATTGTGCCAAGGTATATTGGTGTCCATTTCAACCCCCAACAAACTCATCAAAGCAGAAAGCGGAATTGAAACATTAATTGGTTTTTCAATGATGAATTGATTTTGTTTCATGGTCTTTTTTCAACCAATGTGAATAATTTTTCGAGCTTGCTATCTTGATCAAAATGAAAATTATTATAATTTCAAGAGAATGTGTTTTCAGAAAAATAGTATTACATTGATGATATGTTCATTAGAACTAGGCAAAAAGTTAAAAATATTTCAAGCATCTCTCCCCAAAAAAGAAACTATTTTGGTTTTCTTTTCATTATTTCAATATTGAAATGGTCATTGATTGTGATAATTTCATGGTATTGAAGTTGGAAATGATAATTAAATCATATAGTCATCTTTGATAGTTTTAATGATGTCGCCATTTATTCTATTTCTTCGATCCGAATGAATTTCTATATATGCATAGGATTTTTCAATTGGGTAGTAACTCATCTGATATGGGAATGGTTTGTTGGTTCCTCTTCAATCTCACTTCATATTATGTTAATTGAAATAGTATTTTGGCAGAACAATAATTCATGAAAAACTCATTCCCCTCTCAGACAATGGTTTCGTGCGATAAACATCTCAAGATAACTCATTCGTATTACTTTTTCGTTATTTCGAAGTAGTCAGTCAATTCGTGCACCTACTGGAATCAGAATAAAATAGTTAACCTCAAGATTGCATGTTCGGTAAACCAGACGACAACAAAATCATTTTCTTTTCGAACTGACTGAGGTTTTTTTGTTGCAAACCTTGAAGGTAAATATACTCCACAAGGACATTCAGGGGCTGATAGCAGAGCACATAATCTGTGCATTTCCCGCCGCGGATCTGATCAGGTTATATAGTAAATATAAGAGATATATTTTTCTGTTTCAGGGTGGAATGCAAAATGTACGACTGATTGGAGGACCACACGGCTACCTATCGTCCTGTCCAGATTTGGATTCAACGTGTCCGTCATGTGGCCAATTCTTCCAGCTTCAGAATACCGTGCAGGAACTGACGAGGCATCTTCAGGAACTTTCCGAAAGGGTATATGGACTAACATGTAATTCAGAAATAATGCGTTCTGTACATACCACAACACTGAAATTTCTAGAAAGTTGATACATGTTTTCTAAAAAATGAGCATTGGCAGAAGAGATTTTTCAAATTCAAACATCCATTCATTTTAACGTTATTGTAGGTGGGCAGGTCTGAAATGAGTGGATCCATTCGGCCCTCCGCTGCAACCTGTGACGGTTTATTGTGGCTCAACCAAACGAATCCAGTTTCAGAACGGAACCGATTACTTTATTCAATGGGTTACCTTTTAGGTCATCTGGCATGAGAGGTATTGCCAAATGCTAAAAAACCGATTTCGGGCATCGCGGTTCATGGTCCGGTTAGTGTGGTTCATCTTAAGGGTTCAGGTGTAGATCCGGCCTATGAGGCCGCCCGCTCCCAGCTCCGGGATTTCCTTCTGGGCTTCTAGGAGTCTGACTGGGGAAATGGGAGTTTATTCCTCGGGATTCTTCTGATGGATGCGCATAGCTTCCAGGAAGTAGATAGTATGTCGATGGCAGCGCTGTTGTGCAGTTCAGTGTTTGGTTGATGTTTTCCTCGAAGTTCTTGAAATCTTACTTACTAAGTGTGAGTTTGATACTATCATGGTAAACGGTAGGAAAGGTTGTGAATGTTTCGAAGGATTCTTCTCTTGGTTGTTGATATAATAATCACTATCGTTTCTTCCTTCAGGCTGATATTGTTGTCATATCTGTAGGTTGCAGTTGCAAACAGTTTGGAGTCTTTTTCATGTTCAGCAACCCTTATTCTAATCGAAAGCCGAGTTGCGGCACAGGAGCATGTTATGCGATAAACTCCTAGGCACGATTGGTGTCTCTTGTAACCTACGCCGACTTCAGGCATTACTGCATTTTCTTAATGGACCTATACAAAGTCCTGATATTCTGCTTTCCAAGCAACCGGTTAGTTTCGGGGTGTCGTTGCCTCCTTCTTCGGCCTACGTTTAGGATTGATTGTCATCGACTTCTTGATGTCTCGTTAGGAGTACTTATTAGCAAGAAAGACTTCTTCAAATTGTTTTTGCTTTTCTTCTAAATGCTGTAGGGCGCAGATTCTTTTCGCTCATTTCATCAACGATGCCATTATTCCACATTTTTAACTGGAGCGTTGGTTCGAGCGTTCCTTTAGGTCACTGTCGGTATGGATAGCCTTTCAATATACTGTGTAGTATAATTGGTTTTTCATTCTTGTCACTGGAACATCCAGAAATACTAATAGTATGTCTGTCTTTGGCGGGGTTTCGATCTGATGTGCCCGCCACCGAACATCCAAACTGTCCTGGAAAATCTCCGAGATATCTTCTCAGAATGCAAGGAGTCTGGCTGGGGAAAACAGAAGCTCCTTCCTCGGGATCCTTCTGATGGTTGCTCATGGCTTCTAGGAAGTAGACAGCGTATCAATGGCAGCGGTGTTCGTGCTGTTCAATGTTTGGTTGACGTATAAGGAACGGAGTTCCTGAAATTTCACGTTGCTAGGTGTGAGTTTGACGCTATCATATAGCATAGCATAGCATATAGTTGGTTGGCTGAGGAGCGGTAGGGAAGGTTGTGAATGTTTCGAAGGATTCTCTTACCGGATTTAATCCCGGATTTTATTATACCAATGGCGCGCTTATAGACGCAGGCTATAGTTATCAGTGGCTGCAGAGGAAGGAGCCACCCCTGAAGAATCATGTGTGGGTTTTTCGACCAGCCTATACTGCTCAGACGGTCCAGGCATTCCCACCGTACTAGTATTTTGAAAAGCTATTATCTGCAGTCTACTTCATGTTCAGCAACCCTGCTGATCGAATGCTGGGTTGTGTAACAAACCCTAAAGTTTACCGCATAATTGCGATAAACCCCAGGGTTTGATTGTAATCTTTTCCATCCATTATCGACCTGATGTTTTCACAGATAGTTAACAAATACATCGTCTATATATCGGTATCACACTTGAGGCATCAGGTATGAGTAGTCTATCGCTTTTTGTTCAAAGTACTCCATGTAGGGATTAGTCACGGCAGGAGTTAGGAGACTTATTATAGCTGCTCCATCCAGTTGCTCGAAGGCATTATCGTTTCAGAGAAAGTATTTTTCCAAGAGAAAGACATGAAATAGACTGGTTATGTCTGATGAGAATAGAATCCTGATGAGCACTTGGGACTCCTCTGGTCCCCTTGTCCTGAAATTGAACTCATTTTTCATCATTCTGTATGTTATTGTAACAATTTTTTTTCAGTTCACGGTTCCAGTTATCACGGTTCCAGAGTAAGCAAAGTTTCAAAAATTATTCCAACAAGATTCTGCCGATACAGGCTAGGTATCCTCGTATTTTAAGTCTCGTACAACCTCACGTAGGCCATAAAGAAACTTATAGCAATGACTCATGACATGTCATTGGTGAAAAAGAATGATATTAGGAGAGGAAGATATCCTCGATAGTTTTCTCGTCGTCTTACTTTTCATCAAGGTGCCTTTGAAGGAATCTCTAGGGCTCACCACTATAACCGGTTAATTTCGTATCTATTTCACAGTTCACTATATAACTGAGCAGTCAACATACACGATGGAGACTGAGAAAACAAAATTAGCATTTCTGAGTGTTCTGGTGACAAAAACCGGAGACCAATTCCATCACAGTGTATATTGAAAGGCAATTCACATTAACAGAGTGAACCACCTCGACACGCCCGAACTTCAACACCAGTCAGAAGTCAAAAATAATTTCAAAACTGACGAAATGACCAAAAAAGATTTGCATCCTGCAACATCTAGAAAAAGAGCAAAAAACCCCATAAAAGTTTTTCTTCCTAATTGGGACTCCAAACAAGGCATCAAGAAGGCGAAGAAAATTTATCCCGAACGTAGTCCAAAGCACTTTGATGCCAGCAGCAACCCACCCTTATGGGGGTATCTGAAATCAACTATACCTGAAAATACTAGATTTAGCCAAGCAGGGTTTTTTCGCCTCTGTGAATTATCGTTTGAGCGTGAATGTTGCTGACCAGGGGAGTTTGTTCCATCATCTGATGGAAATTATGTAATTGTTACTTAAGAATGTGGTGGAAGAAGAGATGATGTCACTCTCGTGCTGCACAACCTAGCCTCCCAGGTGTGTTAACAGGTTCAGTAGTTAGGAAACTGATCTCTTGATCCTATGTAAAAGGGAGGACATTGGGGTCGTTTAGTAGACGTTTTTATCTACTTCATAGTACATAGTCCCATGAGTAGCTGGACAAAGAAATTCCATAACGCCAGAGCCTCACATTGTCATGGCTTCCTACCACTAGAGGGCGTCCAGTATCTCAGAGTCATACATTCTTTCGCCACAGATACAAACACCATAGAATGAGGCCGTCAGTTAAGGGGTCTCTTTTCTCCAAGTGAGATATTCCAAAGCGCCCCGCTGCAGGGCGGGGGCCTCAATACTCACTTCATACAGGATGCAGGTCCCATTGACGTCGCGTCGCCCAATGAGATTTAATTGCAGTAGCTTATAGCATAGTCCCAGTCGGACTTTGGAAGTAATCAGAATCTTTCTACTATCAGGACACAAAGAAATAACGTATTTACTGCAGTTGTTAACAGACTCAATGGATAATCTAAAAAAAGTCACGTCAACTTTCTGTACGAAAAGGCTACGACTTCCATTGCAAAAATAAAAGTGTACACAATAATCTTAAAATTTTGATGTCACATGGTTTATGATATAACATAAAATCATTAGTTTCGAAAGTTGCATCTATCAACATCCCAGCGTCACACAATACAGGGCACTATTTCCACCACTTACAATCACCACTGATTATCTCCAAATTAATCATCCTATTACCAAAATATTTGTATTCAAATGGAACACAAAATAGATTAAACAAAATAACCAATCAAAAATGAATTGGAGTAGGAGTACAAGTAGGAGTTTTGCACCAATGTGCGCTATGTTAATGCTGTTACAAGTTTCTAGGGTTGCTCAATATAAAATTATATTCAATTTCATTTTTACAGTTAGTGGTTGCAGAAAGCCGAATAAGCAAAGTAGAGGAATGTGACTGTCACAAATCCTGTCATTTGAATGGAACCATATATGCAGATGGAGCCAAATGGCAAAGCAAGTGTGACATATGTTCTTGTGTGGTAAGTTGAGAAAAATTTTACAAATATATGTATGAAAGTTCGTAAAACTTTGAATAAATGACATACTGGGATCACTCTGTACAATGAATTTAATGAAGTATAGAACAAATAACCTTCTATGGATAATTGTAGCTTCCTGAAAATGGAAAGATTGTTTGAGAAATCACTTAAAAAATATTTGTTGCCTTACAAACCACAATATTTTCAATCCTGCTCAAGATTCAGCGCAAAAATTGTTAATTCGAAAGTGTCTCTACATACCAACTGTCTTTACATAGCGAACATTTTTCTGTTGGCTACTGATATTGATGGCTGCAAATTCAAACAAAATATAAAATTGAAGCAAATCAAACTTCAACACTATCAGGGTTCACAGGTGACCAAACAAAAATACCTAGTTCTTGTGCAAAGAAATCTTCAACTCGCCAAGCTATAGTCGAATTGTAATGCAACTACAGTAAATTGGTAAAACATCATTTGAAGATAAAACATGTTAAGAGTTTGAACTGTTTTTACAAAATATTTCATGTGACCCACAATTCAATTGTGGGACTCAACTGTTTCAGTTGGTGTATTTGATTTCACTGAAAAAAATACATAGTCAATATGAATGAAATAAATTATTTCAAATGAAACAATTCTGTAGAGAAACCAGTGTTATTATTTATATTTTATTTCGTATTCTGATGACACGTGGAAAGTATTATAGAATATGTAGAGCGCACATAAAAAATATTTCATATCAAAAACGTATACTATCGCCTTTAGACAGTAGCCATAATACAAATATCCAAATTCATGTATTAGGCAGTCATGATTAATGCAAAATACATTAAGCAAACTATAGGTCAAAATGGAACTATTCATTAACTCTGCCTACTCCGAGCTGTTAATCAGTGGCAGAACTATTTGAAGACAAAAGTGCCCTTATCAAAGTTTCAAAGGTCCAAACGCGATACAAAATTACTGATCCCTGAGTAACACTCATGTAGACTGATTGATGTTGATAATTGTGAGTACGTGTGGCAGATACCCAACAAAAAACAATAGGTAGCTCGGCTATTATCTTGAATTTCGAGTTGGAACTAAAATTCAGTGAATTTCGTCAATGACAAGTTTTGTAGCCCTCCTACTCCCACAATCATAACTTTCTTTTTTCTTGTTAAATTCATTAATACTAATAGTTTTTTTATTATTATTAATATCAACCAATTCATATAAACTATATTTGTGTGTGAACTATTCGAGTGAGAAGGTTGATAATAATGAGTTATTGATCGCTGTTGGTGAACTAGGTACATATCGTATAAGTCATTATTACATGTATGTGGTTAAAATTACATATTTGAATGAATCAATAATTAGTCCATCAATAAGTACAGAAATCAGGTGTACAATCAAAACACCAATAAAATGTGTGTGCATATACTCATTATACATTTCTATAACGAACAAAAGAACGAAAAAAATATTAATTCGAGCAGAAATGCGAATCAGTCAGGAAATGAAACATTGAAAACCAAAAATATGAAAACAATCATTATCGGTACCGTTGTAAGATTTATATTAAATATGGGTCTACTAACATATCATTAACGAAGCCTTGGTAACTGTAGTAGCTTATGGAACTTTTATTTGAAACAAAATTCGATATATTGATTATTGCATTGCATTGAATTTTCATTTTTTATAGCATGGGACCGTGGAGTGCCAGCCTGTGAAGTGTCCTGAACCACCTTGCAAGCATCCTGTCAATATTAGTGGACGATGCTGTCAAAGTTGTTTGAGTATGTATATAAACTTATTAGGAAACTGTTTCATAAAGATTGTACAAGCTGGTAAAATCTCATGCTTACATTGTAAAATGCGTTTATCCGTTAACAGATACCACCCCTCACCAACTTCTATCCACAAATTTCCAAACTTCTTCCAGATGAGACTTAGGAGGTCTTACTCTTGACGTGCGATTCATATCATTTTAATTAATTTTTTCTTTACATGTGTAAAAAAGTAATATCAATTGATATGAATTACTTTTGGAATTGTTACGGATTTTCTATATAACTATCTTTTATCTTTGAGGTACTCATATGATCATTGAATGATTGCTGTCATATAACGTCAAGTTGTTGAAGTTATACATAAAAAATTGTCACTTAATATTGGGACTATGGGAGTATTAACGGTGTTGATGCAGTGAATTTTCATCATTTTCTTCATTTTAAACTGTCATACTTTTTTCTTTAGTGCGTTGACAATATCAATAGGTCATTCAGGCCAGTCTCAACTGGCCCTTTTAGATAATTTGATTCACAGCCAGTCTCCAAGTATGCCCACTCAATTTGTGAAGTTTTCTTCCTTTTACGAGAAACTTATCAAAATTTCGGATATGCAGTTGGTTACCTTAGTCACCGGCAGATGGGGCGATGACAAACGTGTTGTTTGTTGTTCGCTTCAGCCTAGTTCGAGGATGATACTCTCAAGGAATTCGATTTTCAGTTATCGGAAATTATCGACTTTATGTTGATGAGAGACACTACCTTGCACTGAAGAGTAGCCAAACGGCCCGAAACCGGTCTGCAAGTGTGTTTCAATAATTGAAAATCTATTGCGGCAATTGTATCGCCAATAGCATATACAGGAATAACTTCTATGAAGAATCCTGCACTGACATCTGTCGGATATAATTCGACGCCCTTCGTGGTATTAGCCAGGGGAGTAGTTTTCTGATAGGTGTCAGTCCATTAACCTACAGTGTAGGTGAGCATACGAACGAAAAATTATGTTGAAATTTACATTTAAACTAAAAAAAACTTAATCAATAGACTTGAATCAAATCTTTTAAAATTTTAATAAAAATGAAACCCCTAACTTTTTAATGTCTTCATTTTTTGGTTTGAAATTTTAATTTTAAACCAAAATTTTTTAAATATTTTAAATTTTTATTTATTTTGTCTCTATTTATTTAAAGGTAACTTAATGATTATTTCCATATTTTAAAGTTCATTTCATGTTTACTATCCACATTTGGGTGATAAAAATTTATATTATGCAGTGGATACTTTTGATTATTTTTCTTTTTAAATTTCTTTCAGTTTCACCTTGCTTCTGAGTCTCTAATTCTTATCCCATTTTTGCCAGCTTTGTAATCTTTTTTGAAAGTTTGAATTATATTGTCTTTCATTTTCAGAAAACTGTTTATTTAATGGTCAATTTTATGACCACGGTGAAGTGATTACCGTGAAAAAGTGTGTGGATTGTGAATGCAAGGATGGATCCATGAAGTGCAATAAAACTGATCCAGAAAAGAGCTGTCCTAAACTGAACTGCCCACCAGAGAAGCAGTTCAGTGTGCCAGACCATTGCTGCATGTTTTGTCCAGGTATTTATAGAGAATTGATCTGATTATATTTGTAAGAAAAATTCAATTTTAGCAAAATATTCCAGTATGATTTAAACTTCTTTATAATGATCCTTGACAATTTCATGCTTATTCTGCATGCTTTTCTACAATTAACAATCCCGTCTCGCTATCATTGAATTATAGAAAAGTATCTGTTTAGACATTCTTCAATACCAGTTTTCAAAACTATCCTTTCGAATATTCAATTTGTATAAGATCGTTAAAGTTCGTAAAAAATCATAATCATGAAATAATATTCATTTATATTGCGTTTCACATATTCAAATTCGAGTCTATGCTAATTTCCGAAACAGTGAGGAATAACCCGTCTGATAAATTGTACAAATGTTGCCATTTCAATATATAATAGGAAATACTCCAAAGATAAACTATGTAAGTTTGAACAGAGTGGGCCAACTGTTTGAAATCTGTTTGAAATATATTTCTCCGTGAACCGGATGTAACCCCTTTACGGCAACCCTCAGAAGCCGAAATTAGTGCGTGCTGAGTTTTAAAATGGTCTTGCTTTTTAACGTACACAGGTTAGACGATACACAGTTAAATCGATAAGTGCTGGGATAAATTGCAATGGATAATAAATATGCTTAGTACAAAAAAGTATCAACAGCAAGGGGTGTGAGCCATATAAGTGCCTGGCGAATATTAAAGGAGTACAAGTTCCATTCGTATCAGATTCTGTTGTTGCAAGAACTAGATGAAGACAACTTTCAACATCGATGGAAAATGGTAATTTTCCATTCAATGTATTTTTTTAGACTAGTGTTTTTTAAAAGTTGATCGACACAATTATCGTTGCAGGGCCGATAACAATTCCAGGGTTATGCTCGTGGTACAGAACCCAACAATAATAATTATGGGATATCCTTTGCATAGACTCGAATTGTCATTTATTTCATCATATGTCATATATTATTATTATTCATTATATGATAACTAAAATACATTAGTTCAATGTGATTTTCAGTTATTTACAAACTTGAATATGTATTGGAATCGTACAGAGAATAATGAAAATCTGTTTGAAAAAAATCTGAATGAAAATTCTTGCATAGTTTGCAATACTTAAACTCCATATCCATAACACTTCAAACTAGTTTCATTACCATAATTTCATACGCTTTACTAACTTTTTCTAACAATGGCATCTTTTCATTTTCATTCTAACAGGTGTTGACTACTGCGCAAAAGGGCATTACTGTCATGCCAATGCTTCCTGTCTTAACTTACAAACTACTTACGCTTGTCAGTGTGACCAAGGCTTTCATGGAGATGGCAGAATGTGTTCTGGTATAGTATTTGTTAACATTGCTTCGTTTTTATGTGATTTTTCGTTTTTGTATTCGAATTTGTTTTTCTTCACAAAATGATATTGAATTAAATCAGTCTTTACGAACTGAAATATGATATTGATTCACAGAATGTTTCAAATTCGATCCTCACCATTGGGGTCTCGAAAACTATGAGAGATACGAAAATAGTTGAATTGGGGCAAAGTTGCACATTTACCTGACTAACAAAGTTCTGAAATTCCGAGTATTTCCGGAGATATCCGGAAAAATAGAAATTTCGGAAAATGGTCTTAATTTTTTTCTGGCTTTATTTTTCGAAGGATTCAAAAATGAATTGTACTTCCACATTGCCACTTTTTCCCTGCTACATAATGGTGTTTTCAGATTTGCTATCCGACGTTTCGTCTTGCGGCCACTATCATCAACTTTATTTTTTCTTACGGGCGCTACATTGGATTCTTTCTGATTTGAATAGAACCAGATTTTACTTTTTCAATGATGTATCGTGAGTTATCATTCTTCTTCGAAAAATTGGAGATATTGAAAAACATTAATTCTTGTCATGATAGGCTTTGACTTTGATGTTTCTAAATTTGACTTTCAATTTGTTACACTCAATGACATTTTGTTATTATACAAGTCATTGAATTTTTCACGAGAGATTGCTTTCACGAATGAAGGAAAAAGAGATATGATACAAATATATTTCAAATACGATAGAAACAGTGTTAGGATATCGGAAATGTATTTGAGGTAAATTAGAGGTAAGTAAGACATTGTGTTCTTTTCAATGAAAATAGAACTTTGAACAAATAACAATAATTAACTGAAATGTAAAAACAAAAGTAAATCACATCAAATGCTCAAAATGCTGGCCTTGTTCATGATAATACAAATGTGCCCTTCTTCGAATATTAGTCACTGCACGATTACTTTCCCTTCTCCTCAATCTTCCGAACCCTCTAACAATGCTGTGTTAATAGTTCTCAATATTTTGATACTCATCTAGTGTACCCCATAACAATTCATCCATAACACTTGAGTCTGGAGACCTTGCTGGCCACCTCACCGGCCCATTATTCCCTATCCATTCATCACCAAACCTTTCAGTCAGGTAATCAGATACTCGTCTGGTAGTATGCGGTGGAGCACCATCATTTCGAAACCGGATGTTGTTATAGTTAGCCAAAGGTAGATCATCCAAATAGTCTTCGAAAATCGACATTAAAAACTGGTGACAGATTTCTCCATTCAAAATTTCGTCAAATAAATGAGGACCCAACATTCTATCATTGTAAATTCCTGCCCACGCGTTTATACTATCACCTGGATACAATATTTAAGATATGTGTATTTTGTAAGATTTTAAACCGCTTCTTTTATGATGTCTCCAAGCACTTTTATGACAAATATTCATTTCGGACGAAATTTGACGTATAGATTTTCCCGGGTTCATGTTTATCTGCACATTATCAATTTTCATTGAAAAGGACACAATGTCTAACTTACCTCATACATACCTCATTTATCAAATTTTCTTACGTTTCCTGGTCCATTCTGTCTTCGTATTTTTTCCTCGGCTTCTCAAGTCAAACTCGGTGAGATTTTGATCCAATAACTTGAACATAGTTCGATGTGGTTGTCGTCTTTCGGGATACAAGATACTGTGTCTATCGTATTTGTAATAAATTTGTATCATATCTCTTCTTTCTTCATTTGTGAAAACCATTTTTCGCCAAAAATTCAATGACTTGTACAAAAACAAAATGTCATTGAGTGTAACAAATTGAAAGTCAAATTTAGAAACATCAAAGTCAAAGCCTATTATGATAAGAATTATTTTTTTTCAATATCTCCAATTTTTCGAGAAAGAGTGAATACTTGATACATCATTGAAAAGGTAAAATCTGGTTCTATTCAATTCAAAAAGAAGAAAATGTAGCGCCCATAGGAAAAAATTAAGTTGATGATGGTGGCCGGAAAACGAAACGTCAGATAGCAAATCTGAAAATACCATTATGTAGCTGGAAAAAAGTGGCGATGTGGAAGTGCAATTTATTTTCGAATCCTTCGAAAAATAAAGCCAGAAAAAAATAAAAACCATTTTACGAAATTTCTGTATTTTCCGAATATCTCCGGGTATACTCGGAATTCCAGAACTTTCTCAATGGCATATTGTTAGTCAGGTGAATGCGCAACTTTTCCCCAATTCAACCATCTCCGTATCTCTTATAATTATTAATTTGAAACAACCTGTAGATATTGAAAAAATTCTGTACTCTTTTTCTAACGTTTATAACAGTTTCTCAATTGGATTCGAAATATGAGCCAATAGTAGAGTGATTCGGAAAAATCAAAGTGAACCTTTTTCAGTATTTATCAAAAAACCGTGCGACTTCCAAAGATTATGAAATAGGACTAATTCCAGGGAAATACATTTTCAAGAGGAAAGATTTCACGAAAAAAGCAACGTATGTTGATTATTTGCTATATGCAAATACTGTTTGTACTTGTATTTATGTAAATTTCAAACTAAGAAAATTCATTTAAATTTAAATGTTTTTTGTTCATTAATGGTTTCAACTGGCGGTAATATTTGGAGAACAATACAGGTTTCAGAGATAGAGATGAGAAGAGTTATACATCTCCTAGGAAAATTTTATGAAAGCCAAAACATTGTTAGTAGAAGATTCACTTAGAAATAAAAAAATGTTTCCGTTGTAGCTTTAAAGAATAAAATATTCAGATGACAGCGTTTTAGACTCGTTTCACTGTCTATAATGAAAATAATTTCCTTTCATTTTATTTTCAAAAAAATCTCAATAATGTAACTAGTAGCTCACACCAAATATAGGTCTAGTACAGGAGTTTTGTACTCGTCTCCGAAATTAGACATCAGCGACAACAATCACCAGACTCCGTCTCGGGCATTCAAAAGTATCCATGGATATATCATTGCTGACCATGAACATATGTGTGGATGTTTAGTACAAAACTCTCTATTGAACTTGTAATGGTTGAATGCCCGATGCATGCTGTTGAAAGACTGAATCATAAACCACCAAAGCAGTTCAAAGTCATTGTAGGAAAAATATTGCAATGCGAAATATCTCACGTTATTTCTTTTTTTTATAAGGAAAAAACACAAGCACTACAGGAAAATCCTTAAGGCGCCCTCAGAGCGGTGTCTGTGCGAAAGTAGCGATTCACATTGGATTTGAATCGCTGGAGATTAAATCCATTTGGAAAAACGTTGTCAGGGAGTTTATTCCATATAAACGCAGTTCTCCAGATGAAAGAGTTTTTAAACAGTGAAGTTCGAGGTGTACCGAGTTGAACCTCAAAACGATGAGCAGCCACAGTCCGTCGCGTACTTCTGATATGTACCGCTCTTGGTGAAATCAAATGTGCCAAGTCACTTGAACACCTCTCGTGAAAGTATCTATAGGAGAGAGACAAATCTCCAAACCTTTCTTCGATGTTCCAGGTTATGAATGTTGCACGTGTCTTCAATCAGGCGGTCGGTCCTTTTCTGTATAGAATCCATCAGCTTCAGGGAATGCTTAAGGGTGGAGCTCCATACATGAGAACAACACTTCAAAGAAGGACTGATCTGCGCTTTATAAAGCATCAAACGTTGCTGAGGTGTGTACAGTTTCCTGGTTCGGAACAGTGTTCCAAGTTTTTGAGAAGCAGCCTTTGCAATTCCAGCAATATGATTGTGCCAAGACATACTGGTGTCCATTTTAACCCCCTAACAAACTTATCAAAGCAGGAAGCGGAACTGTCTGACCTGATATTATTATATCCGGTTCGGAGACATTTATCTTCTTGGAGAAAACCGATGCCTGGATTTTTGTGGCACTGAATTGAACCTGGTTACTTCCACCCCAATTCGAAATCACTTCTAGATCCTCGTTAAGATATGGAACCTCCTGTTGCCTATGAAGATGTACCTCCGTAGCCGATGTTTTGGAATCCAAATGAAATGACGAGATAAGTGTGCTGTTGTCAGCAAAGAAGTATATTGGATTTTTGGTTTTTTCCAATAAGTCGTTGATATAAAATTAAAAGAGTGTTGGTGACAATATTGATCCCTGGGGAACACCAGCGTTAATGGTGAAAGTATTCGAGATCTATCCATCGACGACCACTTGCAGGAAACGTTCTTTCAGGAAGCTGAAAAGCCATACGCAGAAATGATCCGGCAAGGCATAGCATCGAAGTTTGGCCAGCAAACCCTCATGCCACACACGGTTGAGGGCCTTAGAAATATCAAGCACAACATTTCTTGATTGTCCATGTTTCTCGATTGCGTTAGTCCAAAAAATATAGGTGACATACGATTGAAGATCGCCAGTTGATCTTTGTTTCCGAAAGCCATATTGATGATCGCTTAAGATGTTAAAGCCTTACAAATATTTGAGGATTTAGTGGTTTACGACTTTCTCCATGATTTTTGATATCACTGATAGCAAAGCGACTGGTCTTTAGTTATTTGGAAGATTTTGCCCTTGAGCTGATATAAACGTTTAAATTAAAATACAATATATATTATAACCCTAGAGGTGGATGCGATATTTTTATAACTGAAAAAGGATTATTCCAAAAACTATTGAACCTGATTATTACAGTAGCTTTCTTACACTGAATGAAATCCAATAATAATCCGCTACAGTGTGAATTTGAAAGCTGAAGAACACTGGCTTGTCCGAAACGTAAATTAATCAGTCTGATCCACCTGTGATATTGTCAAAGTTCGTAACAACTGCAAATAGGAAGTTTGGGTTATTAAAGCTAGCGCTGATTCAGAGGAGAGTCAGAGATTTGTAATTCTTCCATTACAAAGTGGTATCAAAGACAATGTTGAAGGAGACTGCAGCACTTTCAATGTATACTTCTCAACGGTGAATATTTCCGAGCAGGGATAATGAGCCTAAACATCAGAAAAGACACCTTTATTGAAGCACATTCGAATATTTACTGTAGACATTGACTTCGACTTTAGAACTGAACCTTATTGCATCATTATTCATGATAGTATTATTGAACATCTCTCATTTAGCAATATTGAAATAAGTTTATGAAAAGATAACAAATAGCAGGTGAAATATATATCAGCTATAAAAAGCGGTTCATTCTAAAAAGGTTATGAAGAATATGAGGGAGAAAAATGTTTTTGCTAGAAAGATATTATATACCTCTTTCAATTTGAATATCGGGATATTTCAAATAGGTTACATGAATTCATTAAATCATGACTCAGAAAACAATTAAAAATAATATTAATATGAGTTATGAATTGATTATATTATTCATTATGAGAAATCATATTATGTTAACGAAAAGATAAATGAAAAATGCAAGTATTTCAAATAGTTCTTTCCGGTTCGAGCTGAGTTACAAGAATATTTGAATATAGTTCACTTCTTCTGTTATTATGTATTTGTCCTAACCTCGCCAGCAATATTTGAATGAAGAAATGATTGGTTTGGAACCCACACCTTCGCCATAATATATAGTTGTTTTAATGAATTAAATACATTCATTCACATACCGTAGAGAAGTAAAGGAGAATAGAAAATCGAGAATTATACAAATGACATCAAAAGATTTCTATTTTATGTTTGAATCTGTTTAAATAAAATACTTTTTGCACAGGACGCCTTACGCTTCAACTACAGAATATTACTAGTTTTATAGATACCAACCCTGTAAGCCTGTGGAAAAAAGTAGCCTATATTACTTCTAGATAGTGTAGCTTTCTAATGGTAATGAACTCAATAAAACCAATAAATTATTGAAGTTTTTTTAAGATTTCCAATTTTCCCAAACATAAAATATACCTTCTATTATTCGCTAACTATTTATGTATCAAGAACAAAAATGAAACAATAGATAATATTTAAATTATGAAAGTCAATTTTAGAGAAATTAACGTTTTGGCTTTCTACTTCTCCACTTTCGAACAAAAACTATTTATCAATTTTGGAGCGGCCTACACACGTTACGATTTTTCGTACTGCATGTTGAACTGCAAATTGTAAAGAAAATCGTACGGCATGCAGTACAACCATGTTTCATCCACACCTCACAACAACAGGTACTGCCGAGGTTTAGATTTGAATCTTTCAAAAGTCACGTCTGAAGGAAGTTCTTATATTGTTAATTTTCTTTTTTATTACTTCTTGAGATTCGTTTGGGAAGAACTCTTTAAATTTTGCAAATAGTATATCGTAACTTGAATTTCTTTTTATTTGTATACAGCAATAAACTCTTCCCAGAACGTCTTATTTTTCATATCCATCATAATGATATGGAATATATAAAACCCTTTTCCTCAAATTATTTGCTTTAAACGATATAAAATTGTAACTGCCATAACAATAAGCTCCACACGTTCCAACTTTTCTACAACCCCACCCCAGACACGACCGTTGATACGATATTTTATGGAAGCTCCGTACTGCGAACGATTCGACGACTGCATACTGCAAAACACCCAATTTGCCTACATACGTTATGATTTCTCGTTACTGTGGCAGTACCTATGCATATCGTACTGCAAGCAGTACGAAAAATCGTAACGTGTGTAGGCCGTTTTAGTCAGCTTTGCTTTTACTCACGATGATTGATTCAGAACTAACCTTACTTCAATTTATTCAGATATAGACGAGTGCCAGCAAGAAGGAGGTCTCGATGGTCATCATTGTCACCAAAACACCAGATGCGTCAATATTCCCGGATCCTACGAATGCGAATGCCTTCCAGGATACAGGAGAATCGACAAATTCAATTGCGCTGAATTGGACGAATGCAGTACTGGCGAACATAACTGTGATGTCAATGCTGAATGTATTAATTCTGAAGGAAGTTACCATTGCGTTTGTAAAGATGGATACACTGGTGACGGATACTCCTGTCAGCGTAAGTTCTGGTGTGGGAAACACTCTTCCCAATGGATTTATTCTACCTAGCAAAGTTTTTAATGTAAAATGCCATGAAAATTATTATGGGAATAAACAGCGGTTAGATATATTCAAAATATGAAAGTCACATGTGTGAAAGTTCTCAGAAATGCTCTTATGAATGAAAGTAGTGGCGTTTCCAAGAAAGTGATGTAATATATCAATGTCATACGTAACAAAAACAAATTGCATTTCGAAACCTACAATCCTAAAATGTCAAAAGATATCTCAAACAAACACAAGCAGTTTTTTGTCAGTTTCGGAAAACATACTACTGTCATTCATGAAACTGAATGATCATCTGGTTCTGACTAAATTCCTTCATTATAACTATCACTATCTTCGTTTCATCTCGAAACCTACTACTTTCCTTGTCAACAACTCTTTTGCAACTGGAACACTGGCAAATGTATTTGACATAGTTTAGGTGATTTTCAAGAAAAAACATTTTTTTAGGCTAATTGAGAGACTTCTTGAGTGTTGACAAGTTATGTCAGTAAGCAATATTCAGGTACTCAATTAAGTAACTCTGTTATTACCTACAGGGTGGAGTACCGAAAACGAAACAGATCGAATATCTTCAAAACACATGTTTTCTGAAAAAAATGCAAAAGCACGTTGATTTGTAATCCAAGGGGGACATCTTTCTATCGTAACCTCAACTGTCCAACCCCTCGGTCACTATTACCCAAACAATTTGAATACGGAAAGTAGTAAGTGTAACATTAAAAAGGTAATTTCATAAGGAAATCGGTCATGTCAATTTTTGCTACCTAACTTTCTATTTTGGCGCCCTCTTGTGGGAAAAAACTGTTCAGTATTCCAAATCATGATACTTCATTTGCGAGCTAATTTGACATAAATTCGGTGACAATGCATTATTGAATTTTCACCAAGGGATAAAACGAAATGGCGGCTCCACAATGGCGGACAAGATTTGCAATTATGGTCCGATTCGATACAAAATTGATAAGTGGAGGTTTTCAGGGTCGGAAATTATGATTTTTTTACACAAAAAACAATATGGTGGCTCCAAGATGGCGGACGAAATTTGTAATTATGGTCCGATTCGAATCAAAATTAGTATGTGGGAATTTTTAGGGTAGGAAATTATGGTTATTTCGTCGATGCAAAAAACAAGATGGCGGACGATATTTGTAATTGTGGTAAGATTCGATTCTGCACCGAAAGCGAATTTTTCAAAACACATGGGTTGTGACAATAATGCAAAAACACGTCGATTTTAAATCCAAGAGGGACATCTTCCTGTCGTAACCTTAACTGTCATACCTCTCTCCGCACCTCTTGGTAACTCATACAAATCAATGTGTTTTTGCATTTTTTCAGAAAACATGTGTTTTGAAGATATTCGATCTGTTTCGTTTTCGGTGCGCCACCCTTCATAAGGCCTAATGTGGTCAATCATTTTTAGTTCAATGTATAAGTTTGAAAATGTCATTATGAAAACTGCAGTAACGTTAGTTACAAATTAAAGTTGTAAAAACATAGTTTCAATTCTCATTTTTCAATATGGTGTTACAGTAAAACATATATTATCGAATTCGGGACAAAGCGTGTCATGTTGAAATTATCAATACAGGTTTCAGGAACTGGAGAAATATTGAAAGAGAATTCCCCTTCAAAAAAAGTGATTTGTCATGATGTAATTTTCGATGGAAATTGATGTTTTAGAATGAAATGTTTACAAATTTATCAATAAAAGAATGACGACATTTTCTAGAGCAGTCAAATGAAAAGTAATGCTATATTTTCGAACCATTATTAAATAGTTTTTCTGCATTTACACGTCATCTCTCTTACCGATAGTAACTTCAAACGATTCATAAAGTATTTATGATATCAAATTCAATTTTCATATTTGGAACTGAAGAATTCATTCATAAACTAGTATGAAATGGGACCGATTGATTGATTAAAGACGTTTTGGACTTCAACAAGTCCATCTTCAAGATCTAAAACTGTTCCTTAATGCAGGTAATACCTGCCACTTTAAAGAAAATTACTTTTTCAATATAAATAGTATTTAGATCAACAATGTTTCCTATGTTAAAGAGTAATCACAGTTTTTACAGTAGAATGTCAAATATTACTTTCCACGTGCAATGGAAACATTTTCCCAGTTTTAATCTATTCATTTTTGAAATTTCATATATTCAGTGTTTTCGTTCAGAGAGACTTTTCAGTGGTCATCTAAAATATTTCATAAGTATAAACAATACTTGAAAAACGGTCATGCAGTATACAGTGGTAGGTACCCATATTCAAGCACTTCTTTCAATTCAAGAACCCTGAAAACGAACCTGTCAATGCCGAAACGTCAGTAATGAACCAGTAGATTTCTCCAGAAATATTACTGATCCTGTCTCATACTAGATCCTTGATTCTTCAATTTTTGAATCACCATTCGGATAAAAACTAGATAATATTTGTAGCATCTAACAACCATGGAATTATATTCCCACACATCAAGATACCTAATTCTAGCACAATCACTAGTTGAAAAAATACAATTCTGAATTTCAACTATTGTAATTAATTGCATAGAGAAGTAGTCACTTTGTCAGTTTCATCATAGACATCAAGTTCTTAATATCAAGTAGTGAAAATTTCCCTAGAATGAGAAATTTGAGGTAAATTGCACATTCTACATTCAAATTCCTTTCACATATAAACAGTAATTGGACCAACGCTAATCATTTTGACACCAAATACACCATTACATTGAACAAATATTGAATGATACAACGCAGTAAAGATTATAGATAGGGCATATAAGCAAATATGTGTTTCTCAGATTGTAACAATGACATCAATATTTGGGAAAGACAGGTTTTGGCTTTCTTCTTCTCCATCTTCAAACAAACAATGTGGGAAACTTCCAAAGAAATGAAGAAAGCAATTAATTCGAAAGTATTTTTTTACAATAACGTGTAGATCATGCAAAAAAGTAACTTCCAGACGCAAACTGAAATAACTACTTCCATTGAATTACATGAAAAAAAGTGTACTTTCGAAACAACTACTTTTATTTGAACAAACAATTTTTACTATTCAGATTGTTCTCCAAGCATTCGTTATGGAATTGAATCAGATATCATTCACAGAATTGATACCCAATATTATATATACGAAAAGAGGTAGATTTTGACTTACGCTGTCTGATCAAAAAATAAGGTGAATTTTCATTTTTTTTCAAAAAATATTCATTTATTCATCAACGTTCATTTCATCCTTTTCAAAGTAGTCCCCCCTGTGCCAATATTTTTTCTAATTCTCGAAGCAGTTCTGTTATGCACTTTTTGGTACGTACTTGAGCTCTCTTGGCGATTCTATTTTTATCTCCCCAATCATCACTACGCCATCTCTTCGTGGGCCTCTTCAATCATGGGACCAGGAAAAAGTCGCAGTGGGCCAAATCTGGTGAATACGGTGACTGAGGTATGATTGTAGTGTTACAATGACCAGTGAGCAGGTGCATTATCAAGATGCAAAAGCCATGCATTACGAACTTAGCTGACACACGCTCAATGCCGAATATATCCGGGACAATTGCATGGCATGAGCCAACCGTTATGCTGACGATTCTCCATAACAATTTTCTTCAACTTCTCAACATTTTCATCTGTTGTTGATGTTCTGGGGCGTCCAGGGAGAGCGTCGTCAATCACATCTTCTCGAGCTCCTGAGACAATTTTTACCATTTGTGAACATTTTTCTGACTCAGAGTACAATCACCCTATGCCACTGTTATCATTTCGAATATTTTTGAACACTTCCTTCAATTTTTTTACAGAAAATTTGATGCAAATTCTTTGATCTATTTTTTTCGATAGCAGAAAAATGTCGAACACGCAAATAACTTCAAATTTTATGCCTCTCACCAAGAAAATGAACATGCTAAGCAGCTGAAACTGTGTTCGAGATGAATGTACCAGCATAAGAGAAATGAAGAAATCCCTAATTGAATGTATGTAGCCCGCAAAATTTTACCATTAACCTCATTTTTTGAACAGTTCACTACCATCCTCAATGGTGGATATCGATGTTACGGAAGAAGACTCTCATCCTATTGATTCTTCTGTACGAATTTGAAAATTTCCCACATTTCTTGTATGAAGATGGAGGAGTAGAAAGCCAAAACCTTCCAATCTCTTCCAAAAATATACCCCTTTCAATTCAAGACATCAATATCTATCATCATCACCGACATATTCCACACCCAAATTGAAAAGTGTACTGAAACGTGAAGACTTTGATGGTATACACCTAATTTAAAAATTTTAAAAGCTGCCATTTTCTCTAAAAGTGACGTATCTTTTCTTTCAGCTGTTTGCAGTCAAAAATGCTTGAATGGTGGTATATGCAGGAGGCCAGGAAAGTGCGCCTGTCCAAACGGTTACACAGGATCAAGCTGTGAACTTGACTTGGATGAATGCGCCACTGATTCCCATAGGTGCACAAATACTTCAGTATGTGTTAATATGATCGGATGGTACTATTGCAAATGTGACGAGGGATACGAGAATCGTTATAAAGACAATAACTCGAAAACTATATGTTTAGGTAAGCAGTAGACTTTGGGAAAATATTTAACATATATTCTACAGTGGATCCATCATACTTGGCTTCAAACTTATGTCGAGTGATTTATACTGTTCGAATTAAAATAATTCCCTGAGTAAGATTGTTGAAAGTGTAAAACATAGAACTGAAATTGAAACCCACAAATTCAGAAAATTTCATCCACAACTGTAAACTTTATACATCCAGGATAGAGAAAATGGAAAGCATTAGCTAGTGAAAACAGGTAAATGCAGGTGAAAATGGTAAAAATACTTATTCAATAGTAAAAATTATGTGAAAAACAAATCAATAAACACTACATTCCAAGGAGAAAAATCATGATTATCTGGAAACAACATATTGAGTAACGGGGAGCTATTCAACTCGACTTGATATTTCATTACATTCCGGGAATGTTTGTACTTAATGATTTCCACACTTTCCAGAACATTGGATCCCTCTGTGGGGAGGAATTATTTTTCCATTCTGCAAACTGTTTCTAATTACATTCATGCGTGCTTTCAATGTTGTTATAGTTTGACCTAAAAAATATCGGACATGAATCGCAAGACATAAACTCCTGATATACATCTGACACAGAACCCTTGTCTTTGTTATTTTCAATGTGCATGCTCGAATTATTATTGGTTTTGAACCCTATATTCACACCTTGATTTTTTGGGAAATTAGAATTATTCTTACTAGGTTCGCCCAAATTTGTTAGCCTTTTATTCGTTACCCTTCCATCACATCCATCAAGGAGATGGAAGAAAATGGACAATTGACATGGACAATTGTCAATTAACAAAAATCAATAATGAACACGACTTACCAGCTTTTACTAGTAAATGAATTGATTGTACACGCTCCCTCAAGGCAGTTGAAACATTATCTGATCGGACCATGGATCATAGTATAATGTTTCACAAATTGCCATCCGAAAACTAAACAAATTGAGCATCGAAGTTCTGCTTCAACCACCGTACTCCCCAGACATGACGCTTATTTCGAATAAATTGAATGAGTATTCAGTGGGATATTACAGTACTCATAAAAACGGACAGAACTTTTGAAAGAACCTAATGATATGATATCCGAGCATATTTTTATTGATCTGTGCATAAGATTGGATTCTTCCAATTTCTTCAATATATCCTAATGATTATTTCTCTTTCATTTCATAAAATAAGACATCTCTCAACTCAGTAGTTTTTAATAAATTTCTATAAACTTCCAGTTGAATTGTGCAATATATTCAAAAATTTTAAATACATTGAAAAATTCTGACTTAAGAGATGTTCAAACTTTCAATAACAATTCGGCCAAGCTTGCAGATCGGGTTGCAGGTTGCTTCCTAAGATTTTGGAAACGTTGTCCTGAGTCCTCAGAATTTTGTTATACTCTTTTTTAACATTATTTTTTGTTCCAGATATTAATGAATGTAATAGTGATCTTCACACTTGTCATCCCTCTGCTCAATGTATAAACACCAATGGAAAATTTGTTTGTGAATGTCCCCCCAACAGACCAGAGTGTAAACTGAGTTGCATTTTTGAAGGAAATGAAATCCTTTCTGGCGAGTCAGTCTCCCCTAGGCACGATCCGTGTGAAATTTGCACCTGTCAGAAAGGAGTTATGACGTGCGAAAAACCAAAGTGAGTAACAAATAATTTTTCCAGCACCCTGTGTAAAATTCAATTTCACATCAATATTTGTATGTATCAGCAACGGTCGTAATCGAAACTTCGAAATATTACCTTCCTTCTCACTGTCGAAGCACATAATACTGAAGATGTATGCCGCAGTAGCAGACGAAATGTTAAGTTCTACATTCAACTACGACCTACTAGCCCGTTCTATCAAGAACTGTGTTCTTGATTCATATAATCATTTCAATATTAGTTAGAGAACTTTTAATTTTTGAGTGCTAATGAAGGCTGCAGGTGATTAATGTGGAATCTGATTCTGATTAGATTAACACAATTCTCTCCTTTGGGTTATGCCAAAAGTCATTTTGTATCTGATACTGCCCTGAAATGGACACTTTTGGAAAGTATTTCTCTATAAAAGACCATTTTTGTTTCAGATGCGACTGCACTTCCCCCGATGCCAAGGAAAACCCTTGCTGTCCCAGATGTAATGAAAGACATGCTTGTCGACACCAAGAACTACCGAATGTCATCCTGAACCACGGAGATCAGTGGTCTTACCAGTGTCAAGTTTGTGAATGTCTCTACGGAGACATAGACTGTGAGGAGATGATATGTCCTCCTCTACTCTGTGACAACCCCGTTCTCAACCCAGAAGATTGCTGCCACCATTGCGAAGATCTCTGCTCTTCCGGTAATGGTAATAGCTCTGCTTCGGGACAACAGTGTTCCTTTGCAGGCAGAATGTATGATTCCGGGTCGCAAATTATCGATCCCAAAGATCCGTGTACGGCTTGCAACTGTAAGGTTGGTGCATACTTTATTATAGCCAGTTAACCTAGTTTTTGTGTTAACCTTACTGACTGGTCTGTTTGTCTTGTACTAATCAACAAGAAGGTACAGTGATACATAAGAACTGCTTGGTTGCATTAGATGCAGGACTAGTGCCTTTGTGTTGCCCCATTTTCATCGTAAAGTACATTCCTTTGTGATCATCAAAACTTAACTTGTTTGTAGACAGGATCTTGCAGAACACACATCTGTCAGTGGTACAAAATGAACATTTTCATAAGCATTCCATGGGGTATAGATAGATAGATTTTGGGTTTCTAACCTCCCACAATCTGGAAAATTAATAAATATGGGTTAAAATTTGCGTTGTTATCCTCCTTATTATCATTAATTTCTGTACTTACAATCAGGTAGATGCAGCTACGATGTTTGGACAGTCGGAAGGTTCAAATTTGTTTGTCTTTTTGATCTCTCCATATTTTGATGAATTTTATACTGTTTGATCCCAAACATATCTCAACAGTCGGAGTTATTCTCAGAAAAAATAAAGCTGTGCATCGGTGCAGTTTCTAGAAGAGAAATGTTCAGCATTTCTTCTTTTGGATTTCCTTCTTTCAAAATGTGTAGAAAACTTGTATTAACAAATGTCTACACCAAGCACAATAAGCGTTCGGTAAAAATCATTGAATTTATTTGGTTAACGAGTCATTTCGTCGGCAACATATTCCTTCAACTTAGATATATGTTTCTTTGAAATATTGAGTTATTGGACTCTTAACATATTATCAACAAATGGTAATTTTTTCGAAACAGCCAGTTAATGATATCAACTTCTCACCAAACAGTTATTGGTGACTGTTCCGATTGTTTGCTGTGGTAGGAGGCATTGCCAATGAGTTTGATTCAAGGTTCAATGAAATCTTTGAAAAACCAACTTTCGCGCGTCCGTTTCCTCGTGGTCGTCGCTAGTTTTCTTGGACTCGAAGAGTAACAAGCCATTTTCCAAAAAAACCCGAATTGCTGGCTATATGAGTTATTATGAGCCTCCGTCCTTTGCCAGCTGGCGCATCTAATCCTGTTGAGAGGCCTTCGATGAAAGCGTGTCGACAACTTTTCATTTATAAATCTTGTCATACCTTTGAGGCAATATGACCTTGATTCATCCAAGTCTAAATCAAATTATCTAAGAACAATTCGTTCAAGCCAGTCTCAACTCCCTACACAGTAGGCTAATGGACTGACACCTATCATAAAACAACTACTCCCCTGGCTAATACCACGAAGGGCGTTGGATTATATCCAACAGGTGTCGTGCAGGATTCTTCACAGAAGTTATTCCTGCATATGCTGTTGGCGATACAACTGCCGCAATAGATTTTCAATTATTGGAACATACTTGCAGACCGGTTTCGGGCTGTTTGGCCACTCGTCAGTGCAAGGTAGTGTATATCATCAACATGTAGTCGATGATTTCCTATAATTGAAAATCGAATTCCGTCAGAGTATCATTCCTCGAACTAAGCTGAAGCATACAACAAACAACAGGTTTGTCGTCGCTCCATCTGAGACTGGCTTGAACTAATTGTTCTTAGATAATTTGATTTATAGCCAGTCTTCAAGTATGCCCTACTATATGTCCAAGTCTAAATAATGAATCTTTTCACCTTGAAGACGATGATATTCTCGGATTTTCATCAAGTGGTTTCTCCGCCATAAAACAATTTCTCCTCTTTCTATACCAGAACTTTTCCTTCTCAATGGTTGTCCTGCAAAACATCTTATACTTTGCATTGAAGGAGGTGTCTCCAACTGAAAAATCAATTGATAAGTCCCCTCCAAATTAAAAGTCAACGGTTATTATTATTAGGAAATACATTGTTAATAGAAATGAATAATTTTGGATCCATGACGTAGGTTCTTGTTTGTTTTAAGTACCATCATTCAATTGGCGATTTCACATTTCTTGATTCATGTCTAATTTTATTTCCATAGTTTGCAAATCTTTTTTCTCATCTTCGAGAAAAGTATTTCCATAACACAAAAATCAGTAGCATCCTCTTTCTCATCTTTTTCTGCAGCAGTCTCCTTTTTCTTGGGAGATTATATTCTACAAAGAGCTTTATCTTATAACTGGATCAGCTCAAACCTTTACTTTTTGAAAACGTAGCATTTAAAAAAGTACGTATACTTTCTAGACCGTGACTCTGTTGGTCTGTTTTACGAGTATGTGAGTTCTGAATTAGTCAGATGTGTGATATTTCTTATACCTTGAGTCTTATTTGGTACTGTATCTTCAGAAGTTTTGATGATTTATTGCAATGTGGTTTCTCTAGGATTCAACTTCAGGTTGATAAATCTGATTTTCAGGTCGTTGATGATGTGATTTACGGATTTGTTGAGTTGGATAGATCTCTAGCTTTGAATGTGGTAGAAATTGTTTCGGGTATTTGAGCCCATCCAGTTCATTGCATTTGTCACCACCTGAGAAGTAGGTACAATTTTTGCAATTTTTTAAAATGCTCCAAAATGCAAATGAAAATAACGAACACAAGAAACCTATAAATACTGTTTCAACTGCTGAATTGAAATCTACAAATATTTATCTATTAGTTAAATACCCAAATTTCATTTGTACAAAGTATATCGTTTAATAATAATAAAATTGTGCAACTACTTGAAGATCTGGTTTGAAAAGACCCTGTTCTACAAAAAGCATGGCTAGCCTATCCGCATAGAGCTTAGGCTGGCTTTCTAGTTCATTCTAAGCTAGGCGTTACTAACAATTAACACTGGATTCCTTGCAGGTGCCGTACTGCGCAGAACTGGTGAGCAATGTCGCGTGTTGTGTGCATCGGTAATCACTCACACTCCTAACTACACTGTCTACTCAAACTTATAGTTTGAGGTGCCTACCGATTCGTTAACGTTACTGCATTCACAAATTTGAATGATCATTCTAATAAAAGCATGCAATACTAACACTAAACAAGATTCCATGTAATTTGTGTGGATCATGATTCATTTATTTTCCTGTTCCACTCTTCTGAATGAGACATTTTTATGTAGAATAGCGAATTATTATTTAATACTTTTTTTTCAGTTGACAGCCTATTCTACCATCAAATGACCCTTTGATCTATTGGCGATATTCTTGAATCAGAATGATGACACTGTTGCAGTTAGGTGAAGTTAGGTTAGGTCCAAAGTGAGTGGGTCTATTCGACTCTCCACCGCAACCCGCAAGGGTTTATTATGGCTGACAAAATCGACCAAATAAATCCAGCTTCTTAACGAAGACGATTAGTTTGTATGTATTAGTTTGTATGGTCAAATGTTGGGAGTACGGCTCTGCCGAACTCTAAAAAACCTGAATCGATTCCCAATGGGGCAGGCACAAAGTATGTGCTCTGCTGTTTTATTATTTTTCAAACAGAGGCGATACACACTGTCTTACGACAGTCCGAGTCTCTTTGGTATCAAGCTTCGAAGGGAGTGAGCCAGAAGTCCAAACATCTTCTTGCCATCCAGGTGGTCAATGTTTGTTTAGGAAAGCCTAAAGCGTTGCCAATGACAGGTTTTGGTTCGATGAAGCTGCTTGCAGCACCTTCCTTTGCAAAAGAGGCAGCATCCTTATTGCCTTTCAGGCCAGTATGGCTAGAAATCCAGACCAGACACAATCTGTTGAGTCTTCCTATCGAGGAGAGTCGTTTTTGACAATTTGTTACCAATTTAGACGTTGCTCGGTAGGAGACAAAAGCTTCACACTTTTGTGTGAGGTTGAATTCTTCTAATCTCTTCGCACACAATTCAATAGCGTAAATTTCCGCTGATATTTTCTTCTCCTGGAGTATCCAGTCCTCTCTACTCGGGAATAGTACTTTATAAGGCAGTTCGTAGTTGATAGTTGGAGGCATAAAGTCAGAGGTCATTTCCAGAATGCTGTAACTTCCAGTGTCAACCAACAGTCTGTTGCACTCTGCATTAAATTGATTTGTTCAGTTGGCAACGTGCACTAGTCTATATGCAGTCTATCTAGCCTCTCTTTTTAGAAAAATGTGGGGAGAAGGTAGATCTAGAAGGATCCCAATGGTACTGATGGCATCACTGATGGCCAACAAGCCTGTCTCTGTATGCCAGAGAGCTTACCATCGAGGGAAAGTGGCTTCAGATCATTCAATTTTCTTCTCCTGGTGAAGGGGACCATCATAGTTTTGCTGGGATTGACAGACATATGATCCCTCAGGCACCAACAGCAACCTCAATCTCCTTGTTGTCAAGGGATTGGAAGATTTCCTCTACAAGGTTGTTTAATGCTAAATCTGTCAATTTGCCGGTTTGATAAGCATACTGGTGTTTATTCAGGGGGATGCATATAATGAATGCCACCCTCCTGATGTGTCCGTCCTCTCAAGTCTTTTCAACAGGAAGGGTGTAAGGCTGATTGGGTCGTTCCGTATCACCCTTGCTGCCAACCAACTGGGTGGTATATAGTTCCATGCCAGACTAGCTCTATACAATTTTATGAGAATAGGTATAATTATTTCCAGTTCGTTTTGAAGAAGACCTGGAAAAATACCATCCTCTGGGATCCTAGAAGCAGTGAAATCCTCCCAAGCACTGATAGGCTGGTGTTTAGGGGACTTTGTCATCATCATGCGGATTATGGTTTGCAAGACTATATATTAGTAAGGGAATTCAAGGCAGCTCTCAGTAGGAAAGTTCTATAAAATGGAACTTGTATGCTCCTAAAAGAGCACCATGGAATGGAACTGGAAAACCTATGCTTCTCCAGAACACTAGTAAACACTTCGTATTTCATTCATGCATAGGAGCTGGTTGTCGAAATAGTTGTGAATACCAAACAATTGACCTCCATAGCGTAACCCTGGGGACCAACTACAGTACTACAATCATGAGACTTTTCATTTCATTACATCATGGGAAACAATGGAATAATTCTCTTCTCTCCTGGAAACATTAAAAGTAGCATAAAATGTAAATGACTATTTTTATGTGGAAGAAGACGTACAATAATTGTGAGTACTCTAGTGAGGTGCGGATGGTTTCTGATATTTGTTAAAAAACATACAGTTCAGAATACCTCTCGTTCAGAAACGTGATTTTCCGGCTTTGAAGGCTCATCGATATTCAAAAGGCGAGTGAACAGTTTGTAAAACTCAAAGTGTTCTTATGGATGTGTTTTTTTATGCATTCTGTTTGGATCTCCAAAAATAACTTCATTAAGTAAAAAACTAGGAAAAGAAATAACAATAGTTTGAGTTGTACTATCAAATCTAAACCAACTACGAAACATTGGAATATGGAATGGAATAGATGATGAATTACACCATCGCAAGATATTCCAGAGAATGGACACACATTGAAGCTAAGATTTTTTGGTCATTTGATGGTATAGGTTTCGATAAATGAATGATTCTTTGTTTATATTCATATATTATTTACTCATACTTTTTTTTAGAAATTCAGCAAATCAATCAAATTCTCCATGCAATAACGATATCGTGAAGTGGGCTCACATTTCAAACATACACACCTCTAGTAGTGCCTGTTCAGCCTGTCAAGTAGACAAAAATTCGACTTTATAATGTGTTGATGGTTCTCTAACACAACAGCGTGACATTTTTCAAAAATTAACGAATGACTACAACATTCATGTTCACAAGTTCAATTTATCGCGAAAATTCTACTATATACGTGATAGAGAGCTCACTTTGAAATTATCTATTATTTGTGTGTGAACTTTTAATATAGAGCACTCTACAGATGTGTAAGCTAATGCATGATTTATAATCTAGGTAGTTTCTCAACTTGGAAAGGGTAAATTGGTGTTTTGATGAATGATAAGAGCATGTTCTCATAGAATTGTCAGTGATGGAAGCTGTTACGATTTGGACGTATTGAAAAGTGTTCGTATAATTTTGATCACTGAAGGATAGTTTTCGAAATCCAAAAGGAAATTACAGACCGTTCCTGAAAAATTTGGCGAACTCTGTTGAATGCTAGAAAATAATCCTTCCGTGTTATTATATGTACTCTCGTGTTGAGATAGACAAGCACCGTTTCACTTTATTCAAAATTGGCACAATTATACAGAGATTTTTGCAAATGACGATTTTTTAGCAAAATGCAAGCCTTTCAATCTGAGTCATCCTTCAAAAACCTAACTGAATTTTATATCATATTTTTAAATTCTCTGCCAGTGAACAATCAAGAGTTTTTCAGAAAATTTTGTTATCGTATCTAGTGGTACAGAGTCAAATAAACTTCAAATATAAAAAATATACAATTTCAATTGAAGAAATCCTCAAAACAATCAGAACAAATACTATATAGTAATTTTTAATGATACATTAATGACGTATAATTATAATATTTTTTATTTTATTTCCCTATCGACCGAATCTGCCAAGGAAAGCTATTGATATGTACGTGGATATTTTTTCATTTCTTAGATTGAAATGTTTGATTCGAATAAATTTCGTAATTGAATGCATTAAAGCCCTGTTACTCCCAATACATTTGAAAACCTATTTCATATTTTATTTCGAATTAAAAGAATATGTATATATTACAAATATTTCTTCGCATCTAATTCAGACATCCATAATATGCATGGAAAGTTAAAATCATCACCTTTAGAAGGAAAAAAATTACAAGTTAAGACTGTGATATTCCAACCGATATACAGAAAGAAGATAATCTCACAGTTCAATCCTTTTGGGGTTATAAATAAATATTTGTCCTTCGAATTTGTCCAGAAACTTCAGAGTTGAATATCAGAATTATTTTTATTCATACAGTATTATTTTGAATTATATCCTTCAAATTTTCTTTTCAAATGATAATACAAAATAACAGGTCCACACCACAGGCAACTAAGAATGTAACATTGTGATGAACCATCTAATTCATTTACAAGATGATCTCACGATTGAGATGAAAAAATAGTTAGCAAAAATACACAACAAAATATCCTAATCCATTTTTCTGTTGTTTTGAAAATTGGAATTATATCTGAATATATTTTCCCGCTAAAAAGGAAAAGTTTCTTTCGAAATCCTTCCACATATCGTGAAAATTCTGTGGAATATTTTGATTTTTTCAGTATCGTCTAATGGTCAATTATCGTCTAATGGTTTTTCTCCATTCAGTAGATTCTGTAGCATTTATAGTCCACTGTATCCACTGTATCTCAATGCTGAGCATCAAAACGTATCCTTTCTGTATTTAGTATCAAATATTCATTGCATATTGAATATTTATTTGATATCACTTTGAGAGCATGTTGACTTTGAACTGACGGTGTCCTCAGATGAACACGTGAAAAAATGTGCAATGTACGAATAGATACGAAACAACCAGAATCAGAAAACTCCAGCATTGATAATGCCACCAAAAAATTGTTATTTTATTCCATCACAAGAAATCTTTTAGAAGATCCTAAAATTTGGAATCAAAATATAATTGAGTTCAATGATATTTATAGTATATATTTACAGTATATTAATTTTGGACAAATTATGGTTAATACTGACAAAATGACAAGAAACTTCTAGTGTCCGACCGAAACAGGTTTTTACGACCGAAACCGTAAACGAATTTCGGCAACGATCTCAGTTTCGGTCGAAACCGAAACCGAAACCTGCTTACAAGGATTATCTTTTGAGGGAAAAATAAAGAAAACTTTATTATAATCAGTCAGTCTTCATTTTTTTATCTTTAAATCACAACGTTATGAAGTCTTCGACATTTTTACTAATTGATAATCAACATAACAAACCCTTATTTAAGAAAAAATATTAATTACATCTTAAAGATACCTAAAATAGGTGAGATGTTTATTTGAGTAGGTGTCGATCCTTCTTTTGAATATTATTGGTTTTTCACAAATATCAAACATAAAATTACTTATTTAGGTTGTTACCTAATATCACAATAGGTACTTAATATTTATGTAATAAAGAAAGTAAATCACAAAGTAAGTCTCGAGTCACGACATGATTAGGCACGTGGACGCGGCAAAATGTTTTCGCCGCTTGTATGAAATTCAACGCGCCGAACATTACCGATCACAGCACGGGAACTCCCGAATACAGTTTCGGTCGTAGTTTCGGCAGGTTTACCGCCGAAACCGAAACTAAACTAAAACCCGTTTTTTGCCGAAATTCGACCCAAACCGAACTTTCGGTCGGACACTAGAAACTTCTATTTCTATTTAATTTGATACTAGTATTTCATTTGATATTATAGGGTCTTTCATTAGGCGCTTCCTAGCTTTGAATTTATATAAAACAAAGTATTATGAGATATCGAAAGTTTTCATTCGTTTGAAAGACTTATTGGTGTCATTATTTGTGCATCCGAAACGTCTGATTTTCCATGACTCTGGCTCATAAATCAGAATTTGACCGATGGCATGGGCTATGTCGACTTGGGAAAATTCCACAAGAAAAAGTCCATCGGGGTGAAATCGCACGATCTCGGTGTCCAGTTCATATCACAACGTGAGATGACCATGCCATCAAATCGCTCCTGCAGAATATCCAATGTGGCATGTACCGCTGTCCCGTTGAAACCACATGACGTTGGTGTCCAGATCATCCAATTCATGCCAAAAGAAGTTGGTAATCATCTACCTATAGTGCTCGCCGGTGGTAGTGATGGCCTGGCCAACGTCGGTCTCAAACAAATATGGACCGATGACGCTGCCTGCTCATAAGTGTTCGATGATAATTAGGGTCAATTGCCAACTGCTCCAGAGCCCATTCAGCGAGCAAACGTCGTTGTATTTGGTCGTTTACCTTCAGTTCCTGGGTCCCTGGGTCAGTTGAATTTTGTACCGGTGCAAGCCTAAGTCACGACGTACAATTTGCCAAGTTGTGGTCTGAGAAAGGCCGGGCTCTTGTAACGAAGCAAAACAACTGCTTCAGATTCTCCAGCACACTCTCGCGGACAGCTCACGACATTAGTTCCAAATTCATCCACCACAGTGTAAATAGTCCTTTCAGTAGGACGATTATGGCGACTGTAAAATGGGCGAAGCGCGCGGAATGTTGTTGAATGCTATATCTGCCCATGATGATTTGGCAAAACAGACTGAATAAATGACAACTAGTTTGACAGATGTAACTTCAACAAGTTGTCAAAGTTCGGAAGTCCACGTTGGAAGACCCAATACTTTGTGTATAAGTCAATTTTATAAATAAGTACGTGAATTTTTTTTTCTCGCTGAAGATACATTGTTTCCTAATTTTTGAACTGAATGACATAGAGAATATGAAGATTAGCTTTTTATCACATGCGAATTGATTGTTGAATTATCTTATAGTAGTTGTTCCCTATACAAATTATTGCAATGAAAGTTCAGTTAGGTTTCACGATGACTACCATCAACCTCTCATTAATGTAATATTCTTTTTATAGGACGGACAGCTTTGCTGTAGCTATAATTTCGATTGTGGTGACAATCCACGGGCAGTGGGGTACGATGGATTGGTGGCATCTAAAAACGAAACTACAAGCAGTGATAGTGCGCTTTTTGACGTTACTAAACATTCTAGTGTTCTTCGATTGGCTACTAATAGTGCTGGGTTCTCTGTCAGTGACTCGAGGAGCAGCGAGACTGAAAATAGTCGAGCTCCGCGAAAACGCCTACGAAGAGCCTCCCCTGGCGGTTGATCGCCCCTTTAACAGGACCGGTTTTACATTCCTTGACACTTGCGAGCCACGTGTGCAATAGCTGGCTTGCGACATTTCAAGTGTCTTCCCTAGATGCGTAGAGGGGACTCAGTGTCCATACCCGTTTTAGCTTCAACGGCTTTGTTATAATGTTATACTCAGAATTAGTAGTAATGGTACATTATGGGCTACTACAATGTGTCGTTTTATACTTAAATGTTTATCATCAGTATATATGATTCCATAAAGCTCAAGTCTTCTTCAAGAACCACAGTAATTCCTTCAGAAATATTCGAATAAATGTACAGGAACAATATTTTACAAAATCACTGCTTTACAATAACCAGAGTCAATGTTTATGTAAAACATATATATAAAAAATACTTCTCAACATGTTTTCGAATCTTTCTCAAGGCATTTCTTAGTGGAAGTATATAGAGTTCTTAGAAGACTTCAGTTTTTGTGGTGGTGTATACATTTTTTGTGATTTTATACAAGGTATATTATTGAAACTAAGTGTTGTTATGAATATAGAATAAACCAGCTATATCAGCAGACTTAGAGTTTAGAGCTTTTCTACAAAAATTCTTCGAAGGTGCATCGTCCTCATTATGACTGTATTTGAATCGGCCTAGGGTTGCCGTAAGATTGATAGTATATACTATCCCTCAATGCCTATTGTCGTTTCTAACATTTCAGAATAACTACTATTATGTAGATGGATGTATATATCTACTCCTTTCAATCGATAAATCTTTATAGATTCATATTCACCTCAGAATAATGAGTGACTAAAAGTCATTCATGGCCTTGACAATGGCAAAGGCAGAAAATTACAAAAGCTAAGGATATTGTAAGAAATATAGACAATAATAATTAATATAGGTAAGTTTGAAATAGAAAAATCATCGCCTGAACGCGCTAATACGAATTATTCAGGCATTAACGAAAAATTTGAATATTAGTTCATCAGATTGATGAAATTAAATATCCGTGCTGGATTGGTACTATCAAGTCAATTCAATTATAAGCTTCGAATATAGTTACTATATAGTATTCAATATGATGTCTATTTAAGCGATGGATTGAAAGTCAATTCATTCAATATCGATTGATGCAATGAAGACCATAAGTGTTTTACAATTCGAAAAGTGCTGAGACCGATTTTTTTTAAACTTTGGAAGTATCATGGTCTACGAATTTCAAACGAATCAAATAAGGACTTATTATAGCTTTGAGAGAAAGAACTGTTATTAGAATCATTTTAGTAGTCCATAGTGAATGCAAAACAAAATAATGTCATGGAATCAATCCAGCCACCGCAAAATAGGTAAGAAGATTTATTGCGTAATATTATTTTTTCAATTTTTGTATTTATTTGATGATTTATGTGTGTAGAATAGTGGTTCGATTGATTCCAAAAATAAATGAATTAGTGTATAGTAAGTATATGTTTCTGTTTCTAGAGCGTTTATAATGAAAAATCTAGTCAAATTGAGCTTGTTTCAATCTATGGCAAGCTTTAAAATATCGAATACAAATGTGTTTTAATGCTTGATGATTTTTTTTATTATTTTTTTACAAAGCTAATAATAATCTTTTCCAAGGCATCTCTTAATTGTACAAAATAGATCAATGTCAATGTCTATTTTCATCGTGATTTCACTTATGACTTTCAACAGTTGATTCTTCACTGTCCTTTATACAGGGTCGCGAAAATTTGCACTTTTTATATTTGTCTTCCCAGGTGCTTCACTTTAGAGAATTTGCAAACTATTTTTTGTCGCTCGCTTCCTCAATTTCGAAAAGTGGAAGTCAAACTTTATGTCAAAAATATTATCGAAGTGTATCAAATTTTCCACGATTGTAATTTGACTATCAAAAATCTTCATTTCAATTTTAGTCATCCTGTATGAAGGAAGAGGGAAATGTACTTGAATGTAGTACCGGTTTCCATTATTCAAACACTCCAAAATATATTTAGTTTTTCAGGTCAAAAATTTATTTGAATAAGTATCTACACAGTCCACCATATTTGATTATTTAGTGTTTCCTTGGTAACAACTTTCACCAATTCAAATTGTACAATATAAAAATATATTTCACATTCTCAAGAAACACTTTCCATAAAATGTTCAGATGATGAATCCTTTTTTTTTAATAAGAATCAAACTGCACGACGGGCGTTTCACCAACCAAGTTGGCGTCTTCAGGAGATGAAGAGAATCGAAAACTTAGTGGTTAATGAAGTGCGCCTCGAGAAAAGTATTGGGAAAAGTACTTGTTCTTGATTTATTCTACGCCAGAAGTTCCACTTCTACCTTTTAGAATGTTCAAATTGTCTCAAGTGATTTGCAGTTTCTGAAAATCTCCATTCTGAACCAAAAATTAGAACTATATATGACTCTATAACTATTCCCAACTTCCAACTATTGAACTTATAGAAGTACTTCAACACATTTCGTGAGGAAGTACTAGCATTATTTCATTCACCATTACTCAAAATGACTTTCAGGCCTCTAGAAGATATAATTACTATCAAAGAGATATTTTCAAAACTCCTAATTTTTATCGATAACTGTTTTGGAATATGAACTGTATCAACTCTATAGTACTGGGCTTCTCAAAAGAATTTTTTTTAACTCAAGATCAGACTCATTCATCCGACCCAAAACTGAATTGAAGAGAATTTGAAACCAATTCGGAATAAATTTGAAAATGGAAATCAAAATTGATTGCAATTAATTAACTGGATGTAGAAATTCTAAACGCCGTCGTCTCTATTAACTTACATTTAATTTAGGGCAAAATGATAATGATAACTTGACTCCAGATTACCAACATTTATGCATACATGGGTAAATTAGAAACAACGTGTTAGGAATCACACGTTAAAAGGTGAGACCTCGTTAGTCCTTAGCTCGCACAAGTTTCTCAACTTCTGAGAGATGTTGTTCGTATGGGGGCGACAGCTGATTAACGGAAAAACAAAATTTTGAAGATTTTTGAATTGGAAATACACCCAATATCGTGAATATCAAATATTTGAAACTGAAAAACATTATGGATTAGGGCAAAGAACAAGTTAATAAACATGGCTTTTGTTATTAAGAAATATTTTGTTCGCACTCTCATGTATTTCAGTTTTTCCGAAAGATCGTCGAACCAGCATACCAAAATAAAAACTTCAAGCAGGAAAATAACTTTTGAACTCTGTATGGAACTATCCGTTAATCCTACTTCTGATGACTTGAATTTCAGGATATGATGACTGGGTGGAAAGTACTGAGAGGCTAGTTAGTTTCCTAAATTGATATTCATATTACCGACTGGATTTTTATTTTTTTCCCAATTGAGAATGGACTGTATTGTCCAAGATCAATTGTGACCTCACTTGTCTCCTGAACAAGAAGTAAACATTTTGGACAGATAGCCTCAGAAGATCAGGTCACCAGATGATAAAAAAGAAGAATTATTTTCAGTTCTATCCTTTCCTTACATTTTTTTATGTACACATATACTTAGCGACCATCAATTTTTTTATTAGCATCAACATATACAATTTCAATATAATAAACTATATATCAGTCGGTATGTATTTCAAGTAAAATTGCTTGTAGTTCATATTTGTACTCTTGAGCAAGGTGAAAGTTTCCCCATGAAAACATTCGTAATCAAATTTTGAAGGTGGAGTAGTGTTTTCATCATAAATACATTTATTGACAAGGTTGACAATTATTTTATGGTGAAAAAGAACCGGATGCCGTTTCCTGACGTGACTAAATAATAAAAAAAATTAAAATAAACATCTGAAAAAATTTATAGTAATGGAAGCATATCTAGTTATACTTAAAATTATTGCAATATTCAAATTGTGATATTGTTAAAATAAGACTAATGTTTAACATAATTTTTCCATTATTTGTAAAGTTTAGATCTTCGCCACTATCACTAATGAAAGATCAAAATTATTGTTTTTTTATGAAACATTGTAATTGCTATACAGGGTGTCATAGATTATATTAAGAAACTTCAATTTTTATGATTATTTCATAGTTCATAATGAAGAACTTTGTTTGTGACTATCCCTGTGACCATTGAGCACAAAGTAAATATAATTTCAACACTAAATTAGCACTTTCAAATGGAATCGTATTGATGTTGGTCAATTTTCTCTTTCAAGGACAAACTGGTACTAATATAGTCATTGGGATACACAGGTGCGATTTTTAAAAATTACCTATAATTTTGTTATGGAGTTGATGTTAGAGAGAGATTTGTTGTCCTTCTATTCGCCATAACTACTTCTCACTATGGAGTTCATCGATTATTTTCGTAACGCCCTGTAGACGAACAACGAAAGAGGACTTTCCTCTTTATTTTAATTTTTAATCTTCATTAGGTAGATAATTCTTGTAAATTTGTTCAAATATGTTAATTTATTGCTCATATGTATCTCGCAGTACCTATTTTATCATATTTTTTTTACCAAAGAGGTCACTGTTGTAAATATAAATACGATCGCTGTTAGCAAAGTAAATAGTTGAGAGAGCTAACTCAAGTTTTTCAAATAGAGCACATAATATCAATTATTGTCACACATCAGTATTTTCTTTGTTTTTCGATGACACCAGTCTCGCAGATTTGTATCATGATTGAGATCACTCGTAATTTTTGGAAAGTGGATGCATATCTCTGGAGCTCATAATACATGGTTGTTGATTTTTTTGGCCTTTGTGAAGTATTTCACTATACATTCAAGCACTGTTGTATTTTGTTCAGAAATTATTCATAAGAACCATATTATTTATGTACATTCTGAGATTCCTATTTATTTACAAATATTTTATTATTGTACAAATATTGCCATAATCTTCTGTTGTAAAAAATGTGTGCCAATCATTATTAAAATATATAATGAATAAACAGTCATATTTTTCACTCCATTAGTTCAGTTCATCGGTATATACCGACAGTCATTCATATGGATATAAAATCCAACGTCGAGCCTGGTATTAGCCAGGGAAGTAGTTGTTTTCCGGCAGGAATTCACCAGAACCTACTGGGTAGTAACATTTGGACAATGAATGTTTCCAGATTTCATTTCGAAATATTTATTTTCTTATAGGTATGTATCTCTCTTCGATACAGTCTTCAGTCTCGTTTTGATTTCTGTTGGCGTGTCGGTACATGAGATGGGATGGAATTTAGAGAACTTTACAGAACCCTTAACTTTCATATGAAAATTTTACCTTCTAGATCTAGACTATTGGCACGTACTGGGGTGAACATTGGGTGTTATTTTATTTTATTCCTGAGGCCAATTCAATTAAGAAATACCACTAATGAAATTATTAAATAATCAAAATGTAGGGTCAGGAACAAATTATTGTATCATATCATGATAAATTTTCGAAATGTAGGAGGAAACTTGTTAGAAGAATGCAAAATTTGGTGGAGAGCATTTTTGCAATTGTTGCTATACATATATGAGTTGAATTCATTAAATGCCCATTCTTTGTTTTATTATAATACTAAGAATAATCAAACATTTCAGTAATGATAAACTAAAATATTATCTCGTTGCACTAAATTTTGGGTTATGATATTTATTAATGTATTTCGAGAGTGGAGAAATTATAGACTATTTTTTTAGATTTACAATTTGAATTTGATAATTCAAGTTTGCCTTATACTCATATGTAAAACAAATCTTGAGAAGCCTATCATCAAAAATTGATAAAACCGATTGGGTAAACTTTCTTAAAAAAATTATTGACTTCAAAACTACAATAAAACGAGTAACATACACCAGGTAGGTGTATTGAGTTAGATACTACTTGATGCCAAGAATAAATTTTTTCTTTGTTTGTGTCATCGTTTGAAACAAACTGCGTACAGATGATAACATCTTTTTGAATTTTTACTATGATAGAAAATGAAAAAAGTGAAGTATAGAAAATCTAAAGATAAATCAACAATACACATACAAGCAGCTCTGCGACACTGGAGTTTTTGGAAATCTGCCTTAAAATTGCTAGCGTCAAAGTGATATGATAATATAAAGGAATACAAGAAAAATGGTTTGAAGTCATAAAATAACTTGAAGGGATGCTGTTATGAAGATTGATGACATTGTTAAAGAGGAGATTAACATTTTTGGGAAAGAAAGTTTTTGGCTTTCTACTACTCCATATTGATACAAAAAAAGGATGAGGGAATCTTCCAAAGAAAGGAAGGAAGTAATCAATTTGAAAATAAGTAACTCTATACATGGATGTGTAGATCTTGCAAAGAAGTAACTTTCAGACACAAACTGAAAGAAAGTCCTCCTGAAACAGCTACTTTCATATAAACATTGAATTACACGAAACAAATACTTCTATATGAACATTGAATTATACAGAAGATACTTCTCTCTACTCAGTTGGTATTTCAAACATTCGTTGTGGAATAAAATCATATATCATTCACATGAGTTCTACTTTAAATGAATGGTAACAAATTGTATCAAGATGGAGTAGTAGAAAACCAAAAACTTTCTTTCCCAAAAATTAATCACTCCTAAAAGTATAACCCCTTCATTTCGAGATTAACATGTTAGCTAACAATCAACAATAAATTTTATTAGGTAGATTCAAAAGTTTCGTCTGATTTTATGAGTTTACTTTCAACTGTGATATCTTAGTGAATGCTCATTTGATCGAAATAAGCTCCATTTGAATCAGTGCAATTTTGCTAACACAAATCGATAATTTCCGCCAGCAAAAAAATTGTGTGCTCGGGATTCGATAAAATCGACGAAGACCGTTTCTGCCTGGCTTGATAAGCGAAGTTTCTACTGGATCTTTGTTCACGAGAAGGAGAGCTGTTACTAGTTAATAAATCTTTCTCTTGGACGAAGGTTTCATACATACAGTAGAGCCGCGTTGAAGTCAATTGAGTGCCAGGCACAATGCTGTTTGGATCGGATCTCTCCTGCACAAATGTGAGGTAATATCTCAAACCGATCAATATGTGATATACTCGATTTCAGTGTGCGCAGAAAGCATCTGTAAGACTATTGTCGGTGAAGTTTCTTGCATAAATGTCTGTCGGATATATTTCAATATCCATCATGGTATTAGCCAGGCAAGTAGTAGTTTCAGGCAATCATTTAGTAGAACTGATTGTGTAAGTGCGTTGGGAGAAATGAATTTGTCCAGATTTATTCATGATAATAATAACACAATTTTCAGAAACATTTCAATTTCTAGACGCGTTTCTGCAACACCGTACGGAGCTACGAAACAAACATTTTCGATTGTTGTGGGTGTTTCCTATCTCTAAATTATTTAAAGTATTAGCTCATCATCAAAATAACCAGGACACATTTCATTTAGAAGAATACTTTTTGCTTAGGGCGATTTCGTTTCCTAAATTTCATGTTTATACTTGAAACGAAACACGCTTTACAAATATGTTTGTTTGTAACTCTCCTTTTCATTTCATATCGGGATCTGTATTTGACAGAATTATCGACATTATTGCTTGATCTATTCCCGGGAAGATGGCGCTGTACGTATCATCCTTAATATATCGACATTATTGCTTGATCTATTCGCGGGCACATGACACTGTACGTAACGACTTTGATATGTTTCGAACTGACTTTACATGTATTTCTTCATTTGAAAAAAAAATTTTATTAACACGCGCCCCTGCTGCCTTATTTGTAACCCTCCTTTGCGCGCCTGCTACTTTGGGCTTGGTAGCTGATTTTCAGGCTCCCTCTCCGGAATCGGAAAATATCAATGGTCATTTTTCTAAACAATATACGACTGATTGATCCTAAAGTTTGGATAAAATAAATATAGTTTAAAAAGACTAAAAAAACACGCTTTTATAGCATCCGAAACTAAAAAATGAAAAATGAATATAGTTTAAAAAACTAAAAAAACACGCTTTTAAAGAACATCGAACTAAAAAGTTTAATTTTTTTTAAATAAGCTCAAAGCAATAACGAACGAAAAATACTAGTATTATTGTGAAAAAAGCGTGGACGCTTTGTGCTGTATTTTTTCACAATATACTAGTATTTCTTGTTCGTTATTTTTTTAAAATTATTTAAAAAAACATTTTTAACTTTTTAGTTCAATGTTCTTCAAAAGCGTGTTTTTTAGTTTTTCAAATCATATTTATTTTTCAATCAAACACTTTGTCAATTCATAAATATTCGACATAATACAAGTCTTTGAAAAATTTTCATACTAATATCTTGATTTATGTGATATTGCCCTGATTATTGATTTACAATGAGTTTAGAAAAAATTCAGTACCAAAAAACCAATGAAGAATATTTTAAAATTTCTATTCAAGTAGAAAATGTAGTCAGTTACAAATGAGGCATTTATTGTTATTTATCTAGTACACATATCAACTTAGTCTTCCTCAAAAATATTCTAGTCGGAGCAGATCCTGACTTTCTGTGTAAAGATAGGCTATCACCTTTTGACATTATGAATCCATACCATTTGTTATAGAAAGTGACAAAGATAACGGCATGTGGTAATGTGTTGAAACAGTAGGGGAGAGTAGGCAACAGTGAGACGTTTTTTGCTTAAAGCAAATATGTAAATGAGGATGATGTGTTATAAAGTAATGAATTATCTGTCAGAAATCATCTAGTAATTTTATTAAATAAACATGAAAATTTCATTATAATCATAAAAAATTATTGTAATTCATCTCACTGTGTACCACTGTGTCGGGTACAGTGAGACACTGACTTTTCAAACCCTGCAATTATGTTGGATGGAGTTACTGCCTTTGGTAGTGCTTTACCGAAACATTCAGCTACTTGATGAATTGTTAGGGGAATGCCAGGATGGGCAAGGAGCCAGTTATCGACAGTTTCATTATAGTACGCTTTTAGAGGTCCGTAAATAGACACATCTAATGGTTGGGTCTTATCACCAGTGTGGGGAGGTATAGTGAGAAGTGTTACTCCATTCTCCTTGGCTATATTTAACGCTGTTATGCTTATGTGCGATTCGTGGTTATCGCATATAACCAAGGTTGGATTTTCTTTGCTGCTGCTGGTATATTTTATAAAGTGATTTAAAACTTCAGGAAACAACTCTGTTGCCATCCATTCAGATGGACTAGCAAGTCCAAGTGTACCTGCTGGAGCTCCTGTGAGCATGTGTTGTTTAAAATTTTTTCTTGGGATTACGAGCACTGGAGGAATAAACGTACCTACTCCTGAAATGAATACAACAGCAGTTATAAGTTGCCCTCGTTCAGCACTAGTACATTTATTTAATTGTTTAACTCCTTTCTGGGCAACAACTTTTGTAGGTTTCTGCACCGTTGTCAGTCCTGTTTCATCAAAATTGTATATTCGAGAACCATCTGATATCTGTGGTAGCCTTTCGTAGACTTTTTTCAAATTTTCAAAATACATGTGAATATTGTGTTTATTAAATGAGGTTAATCTCGATAGATTACAAGCTTCAGGTGTTCTAATGCTCAAGTTGTTGTAACGATGTAAAAATCCCCTTAGTCAGTCTTTACCCGCACTCTTATACTTTTTCCAACCATCAGGTGTTTTTAACTTATTTATTAGTGCCATTTCGTAGGCCAACGTTCTCAACTCTTTTGTTGACAAACCATAAGTCATTTTACTACATTCTTCAAGATACTCAGCAAGGTCTTGTTCTTGTTGTGTAGTAAATATTTTCGCAACATCATAATGTGGGGTGGTTCTTATATTACCCTCTGGATCTATTTTTGACCTCTTAACGTACCTATGTAGCGTTTGAAATGCAATATTTGTTTCTTTTGCTGCCTCTCGAATAGACATTCTTTGTTCAATAACTAAATTAATAGCTGCAGCCATTTGCTCTGATGACGTTTTCCCAATTTTTCGTTGCGTATCTTTTGGCCTTCCCATTTTCGAAGAAAACTAAAAAAAAAAATAAAACGTGTGAGGCATCCTATCTATGGTACACAATGAGACATGTCTCACTGTGTACTTCCTTGTAGTGTCTCAGTGTGTACATTTGCAGGTAAAAACTAAAATGGCTACCAAATATTTGAACACAATATAAATCACCTTCAAACTATAAATACTTCTGGGTTGAAACATTAGCTTTAAAGGTACTTACTTATTAAATTTTCAGAAAAATTTTCTGACACATCAGAAGGTCTTCTTAGTCAACTAGTACGTAACTTTCAATGAAAAAAAATACCAGTTGATCACCTCACAATAACGACTGAACATGAACTAACAGGAGTAAGAGGAAGTGACTGGGTATATAATTATTAACTGACGGTGTTGTCAAACCTCAAAAATCTCAAACTGTTTAGGAAAAAATGGAGGTGTCTCACTGTGTACGCTGTCTCACTGTAACCCACTCTCCCTACAAGTCGAATTGTGCCATATAAATTGAATATTTTCTAACAACGTACTGTGTCGAATTTCTACAGTATTTTTTTTATTAGTCAGTGGGCTATGTTCGAAGACTGGCAGTAAACAAATCTAAGGAAATGAACTTTAAACAAACGTAGGTTGAATGAACAGACGCCTATCACAAAACAACTACTCCCCTGGCTAATACCACGAAGGGCGTTGGATTATATCCGACAGGCATCAGTGTAGGAATCTTCACAGAAAATTTCCTGCATATGCAATTGGCAATACAACTGAAAGAGTCGACCTTCAATTTCGGAACGGGCACACTTTCATTCTTCTTCCCAAGTTGGAACGAACAACAAAATGTCACTCCATCTAGTGGACGAGGTACTAACCAACTGCATATCCGAAATTTGCCCGATTCCTCTGAATAAGGAAGAGAAACTTTCTTATTAGTCAGTGTGCTATGCTTGATGACTAGCTAAAGGAATGAACTTACCTCGTACCTCGTCCACTAGATGGAGTGACATTTTGTTGTTCGCTCCAACTTAGGAAGAGGAATGAAATACTCTGAAAGAATTGCGATTTTCAATTATGGAAGGTCATTGACTTTAGATCGATAATGACCACTATCTTGCACTGACGAGTGGCTATTGAGCTCGAAACCAATCTGCAAGTGTGCCTGTTCCAAAATTGAAGCTTTCAGTTGTATTTCCAATTGGATAGGTAGGAAGTTTTCTGTGAAGATTCCTGCACTGACACCTGTCGGATATAATCCAAAGCCCTTCGTGGTATTAGCCAGGAGAGTGGTTGTTTTCTGATAGGCGTCAGTCCATTCAATCTACTGTTTAAGTATATCCAAAACTGGCTTGAACGTTTGAAGTTCATTTCTTTAGAAGTATTTTTTCTGTTTGACTGGCTCAACAATAAGTATTTGGTGAGGTGAAAAGTATTTGGGCTAACACTAACCTTCAAAAGATACGTGTAAAAATTTCACAGCTGTCGGACTATCAGTTTGTGGGAGAGAATATCTTGAGTGAATGAACTTTCATTAGCTTGAAAAAAATGGATGGAAAGGAATTTCGTGTGTTGATAAAGCATTGCATTTTGGCGAAAAAAAATTCTGTCAAAGCCAAGGCTCGATTTGATTAACATTATTCGAACTTTGCACCAGGAAAATCAACCGCTAAGAAGTTGTTTCATGAGTTTAAACGAGGTGAAAAGAGCACCGAAGACGATGCATGCAGTGGACGCCCCAAAGAGGCTGTTACCGACGAAAACATTCAAGACCACAAAATAATTTTGGATGACTGCAAAGTGAAATTGATCGAGACAGCTGAGGCTCTAAAGATATCGAAGGAATGTATTGGACATATCGTACATGGTTATTTGGGTATGTGATAACTGTGTTCAGAGTGGGTGCCGCGCTAGCTCACATTCGACCGAAAACAACAACGAATTGATGATTCTGAGCAGTGTTCGAAGCTGTTCCACCATAAAAAACCCGAATGTATGCAATATGTGTATGTATGCAATATGTGACAATGGATGAAACATGACTCCATCGTTTCACACCATAATCAAAACAATCATCATCTGAGTGAACTGTACGTGGTAAACCGACTCTAAAACGTGCAACGACACAACATTTGGCTGCCAAAGTTATAGTATCGGTATTTTTGGATACGCATGGTATAATATTTATCGACTAACTTGAAAAGGGAAAAATCATCAAAAGTGACTAGTACATAGCGTTCATCATTTGAAGGACGAAATCGTGGAAAAACGGCAACATTTGAAAAAAATAAAGTGCTGGTTCATCTAAACAATGCATCGTGTAACAAATCAATAAAAACGATGACAAAATTACATGAATTGGGTTTTTGAGTTGCTTCCTCATCTACCATATTCTCCAGATCTGGCCCCCAGTGTTTTTCTGTTCGCAGACCTCAAAAGAATGTTCACTGGAAAAAATTAAAGGGGCAATCGTCAAAACTGAGGCCTATTTTGAGGCTTGAGAAAAATCGTACTATAAAAATTGTATGACCGCCATAATCGTTGTATCGCCCCCGGAAGCAACTATATTGAATGATAAAATCAAATTTGATCAGAATTTTTTTTCTATGGTAACCTACTACTACTATATGACAAATGTTATGGTGGTATATTTTTTTAACTTCCAACAAAAAAAAACATTCAAGTAATTTGATATCAAAAAATATATTTTTCGTGAAAGTTTAAAGATAATCAAACAACATTACAGTTAGATCCATAACATGTTTATTCACAACAGACAGCTAGACAACTTTTGAATTATTTTGGAAGTGTACATTATCGATACCAGTACCACAGACAAAACGTGGCTGGTTAACGTCAAACAATTCGATGCACTTTTTGCTGCTATGAGTTGTTCCTGCTCGGGGGTGGTTGCAGATAAAAAAGGTAGTCCTTTGTTCTGGCATAGCCACTCCATGCTGATGTTGTCCATACATTTTCCATTCTGCAGCAACATTTTAGTTTTCGCAATCGGCAAATTACAAGTATAGGAGCAATTGTTTTGATTCTCCTCATCTAAAAAAACTTCATAAAAACTTTCTATGGGAGCTGTGTTGTAACCGTGACCAGTTCCTGAAATCAGCCAAGCTGAAAAAAACAGAAGAATGTAGGAAATATCGTTAATAATGAATAAATTTATATTCCATCATCATGCATGAAATGAATGTTATAGAAATAAAATACTTTGTCTAATTTCCACTTATTTAATGTATTGATATTAATACTACCAAGGTTTCGGTTTTTACACCATTCTCAAGTATTCTAACACTGCGGACCTAAGAGAAATATCGGAGTATATATATCCGAGAGTAGGNCATATATTGACCGTGACTGTGGCAAATTAGACAACCTCCACACTTGAAATTTATCTTTTAATGTTTCTGCTTGAATATGGATTGAATGGACGTTTAATCAGTTACCAAATCAGGATCCTGTGTTCACGGTGAAAACTATATGCTATTTCGCAAGTATTGAGGTCTCAGAAGTTAAATATATATATATACATAACATTTCTTTTTCATTTATAAAAAACTTACACACACATCTTTGCAAAGCATTTTTATTGATATTTTTTTCCTTCTTTTTCTAGGTTTCCACGTTTTATATATCCGTGAATAAAATGGTGTTTTATCCGAAAAACTAGTCTCTTTTCAATAACAATATTATGCTCGAACTTACCCGAATTCTCACAGGAACAAAAAATGCTGTTTTCACTCAATATTATATCACTCGCTACAGTCTCGTATGCCTCAAAATCCGGGTTCAAACATCCAGCATCCATAAAGTTAATACAATTTCCTTTAAATTCGTAAATAAACTTCAATCTTCCGAAATTTCTTCCAGATATATCGTCAAGTAGTCCCGGGCTTATTTTTTCCAACGCTCCACTTTTCAGATACTCAAATCTGTTGTCCTGAATGTATACGTTTTGAGATATGAGAGAGATACTATGAGGTTGTAGGATGTTAACGAAATTTTTATAGAAGCTGAAACTTCCTAGTGTACCGTTAATACCGTTTGGAGATATTTCCAAGAATTTGTTTTCTCTGTGAACAAACATAATTGAATCATGCCGTTGGATTGATGAAGTTTTAGAAAGTATTTTGTCAAGATAAGGATGAAATGCGTTTATTATTGAAAAAGTTATAAGAAAATGGAATTTGAAAATCACATACTTTTCAAAAGTTATTAGCTTCTTCTTCAAATTCGAACATATCATTGAATCACGTAGTTTTGACGAAGGTTATGTCAAAATTGTGTTCGTCATTAGAAAATAACATTTCAAAAGTATACCTTTTAATATTTCACCAATTCAATTCTAGAAAATTAATTGGAATTAAGACTATTTATTCCACTGGATTCAGCAGGTTTTGGTTTATCAATAGCCAGAGTGTATTCAAAATTTCTTCTTCATCAAAACAGTTATGAGTTAAGAATTATTAAAAGACTTCACACGAAATATTTTTCAACCTTTCTTCATTTATAACTTTTTAGTTGGTCATCAAATTTTGATGCAACTGTGGACAGTGATAAAGCAAAATGTACTGAAACCAGTGAAGTAGTCTGAATTTTCATGAATGTTCATTGATTGATAGGATAGTTGAATGAAATATTTTTCAAACTTCATTCTCTCATAATTTTTTCAATTACGAACGCAATTTTGACGTGAACTATTTCAGAATATTCAGTACGTGAATCCGATGGTGTGGCCAAAATAAGAAAGGACGTTTAAAGGAAGTTGCGGAAAAACGAGTTGTTTCATCAAGACAATGCTCCGTGATACTAATCAGTGGGAATGTTGGCTGTCGTTGTTCATATTTCACTGCCTGAACCACTGTGCATGCTGTTTTGGCGAGTGCATTGGCTTGGGATGTTGAGGTTGAGCAAACCGACCATCGGATGCCTGCTTCCACGTAGCTATGCTAGATACGGGAATGACAGAATCACTTGTGGTTCTGTTCTTCCCTAACTGAATGACATCCCAACGATGGCTCAATCCTAAAGTGTGTGTATCCGTGCCGAGAGGATGACACTGAGCATATCAGCTGTCTCTACGAAACCTTTGAGATACCGGGCGCCCTCTCGTCGTAGCATCACCTTGTCACGGTAATGCGGGGCTCTGCCGTGATTGACCTTCTTTCCCAAGCTTCTCGTGGGACTTTTAGGGACAGAGTAAACTTAAAAATTCTTTCTGACGCTGAGTCTATAGAAGAGATGGATGTCGAGCCTACGACTCCAACTGACCTCCCTGTAAATTTATTTCAGGAGCGAATCTACAGAGGAGATGGAAGTCGAGTTTACGCCTCCAACTGACCTTTCTGTGAATTTAGTTCAGGAGCGAGTCTACAGAGGAGATGGATGTCGAGTTTACGACTCCAACTGACCTCCCTGTAAATTTAGTTCAGGAGCGAGTCTACAGAGGAGATGGATGTCGAGTTTACGACTCCAACTGACCTCCCTGTAAATTTAGTTCAGGAGCGAGAGCTTCTCAACTCCCCAACTCCTGATCCAATAACTGGACCTTAAAAACAGTTTGATGGTGCAGCCAGGAAGCGACTGACTCATCTCCTCAGAAGCGGAGTACTTTATAAAACCGCCTGGCACCAAATTCTTGAGTGGCGTACGCGGAATCTGTCTCAGGTGGAGGAACAAACCCCCCATGAGCAGGTTAGCTAACGTTTGCGCTCAAGTGATAATTTACCAAAATCAGAGGCGAAAAAGCGCTGCACGTTTGATCTAAGGCCTCGTCAGGTGCAGCTGACGTGCAAGAACCCTCATATGGAAAGGTTGTCGAGGGTATCTAGGTGGGAATCTTGCACCTTGCACCGACTACCTCATTAACAATGAAACAGCCCTGTTGGGGACCGAATCAAGTTTTTACAGTTCCACAGAGCCCATACTCTCACCATCTGACCTGAGAGACCACTCACCATACAAACTAATCGGCTTCCTTAAGAAGCTGGGATTATTTGGTCGAGTGTGAATAGGCTTGAGCCACAATAAACCCTTGCAGGTTGCGGTGGAGGGTCGAATAGACCCACAATTTGGACCTAACCTAACCTAACCTAACCTACTAACCTAAACGATAGCAAAATTGCATAAATTGGGCTTCGAATTGTTTCCGCGTCTACCGTATTCTCCAGATCTAACTCACAGCAACTTTTTCTGTTCTCAGATGTCAAAAGAATGCTTGCTGGAAAGAAATAAAGGGGTAATCGTACTATGAAAATGGTATCGAAAAATTGAATGGCCGCTTCAATTGTTGTATCGCCTTCGAAGGCAATTAAATTGAATAGTGAAAAAAAATCTATCTTAGCCTACGCTTACGAAAATGGTGCCAAAACTGCCGGAAACTTGTATGAACAATGAACATGATTCTTTCCCTGCTTCAGACGGGTTTTGTGTTCAAACAATAAAAAAAAGCATTAAAAAGCCTCATCAAAATCGAAGCTGTTTTTGATTACTCCCGAAGGTTTCCTGTTACATGTATTCATTTGTGCCACTGATTGTGGCGGAAGAAGCATAGATGAATTCTACATTTTCTAAATTTGTACAGAATTACTATGGATGGTATGGATGCTATGGATGCTCACCTGAAAATTGCTATTTTTCCATATATTCTGAATGCAAGGCTCTCAGTATACTCGACGGCACCACTTTCAAAAAGAAAATTTGATATTGTAGATAGTTTTGTCACAATGGCAGAGCTCTGCAATCTATGAATCGTAACGTTTATGAAGGTGACATTACCAAAATCGTTTGGCATATTGAAGGCATTCGATTGAACGGTGTGTATATTGACATTTTTCACCAGAATGTCGTTGAAATCCTCTTTTGGTTTGAAGCAGTTAATGGTATGCAAACGCTTATCAATTTGGGAAAAAGTAAAACTAGGTATAGTTTCCATATATCCTATATTCTCTAGAACAACTTTCGGTGGCAGTTGAGACTGGTATTGAAGCCTTTCTATGTTCAAGACTCCTATATTATTGATATGTAAGTACTGGATATTTTTCTGTTCACTAGAGCATCGTAATGATATTGTGAGATTTTTGCAATCTCTGATTTTTAAGGTTTCGATATTGAAAGGACTCGCGAATTGGTTTACCATAAAGATCAACCCCTGAAAAAAAAAGCAAATGTATTAAATGAACAACAATTGAGATAAAGCAGTACATTTTTTGTGTAGGATGTCAACTCGCAAACTATAACCCACAACATTATTCTTTTGTTAGGTAGGAGATGGTTTCAAAAAATATTTCTGTCGTCGTGGTTCAATCCACTACGAGGGGATTACATTTGAATAGGTGTTTCTCCGGGATCTGTTTTAAGCCCACGAGTATTTTTTCAATCTTCATCTGAATAAATGATACCTGAATATCTGCATCATAATTCAGTATGTAATCGAATGTTGATATAAGTAATTCTAGGAAAAACATTGTGTTTTTTCATGAAATAGGTGAATATCATGACAAACTTTTATATCATATGGATTGGGTAATATAATAAAGGTTCGATTTGACTTAAGTTTGATTTTTTGTCTTTAAGGCTGTTGTATAAAAACGTGTGATTTATTGTAACTCCAGCAGCAATAGTTTTGTTCATTGAAATTGCCATTCAAATAAAAATGAATATCAATCTGTAAATTAGAATTTTCACAAAATATTAGAGATGGCAATGAAGAGAAAGGACTTTTTTTCACAAATCTATATTTTTCAGTTAAGATGAGTGTCTTCTTCCTATTTGAGATTCTAAGGGTAGCAGTTAATATTCGTAGGGAACTTAAAACACATGTGAATGAAATTATCATATGTTTATGATTTCTTATATCAATTTATAGAAGGGGTATATTGGGAATGCGATATTTCCTAATTAACCTAAACAATAATACGTATATTGAGCCTTGAAGTGTACCTCAAACTTTGAAGTGTACCTCGAGGCTCAATATTGGGTCCAATACTCTTCAGTACTCATATCTCTCAATTCTGTGAGCATCTGAAACACGTAACATCACATTTTTATGCAGATGATAATCAATTATACCTGGCTTTCAATGAAAATGGAGATGCAAGAAAATGAAGCTTTACTTTTTTGTAATAAAAATTGCCAAAAATAGATTCCGACCCCTCAATTTCCTTTACAATGAATGAATCCACTCATCGGGCTGCTATGAGAATTCAGGCTTATTTATTAATAATTTCCTCCTCTTCATCAAGCACGTATCTCATACAGTAAAAAAAGCGTTTGCAAGTTTGATATTAGTCTATTTTAACAGTCATATTCTGAATAAGGCATGCAAAATTCTGCGAATCACTCGATTTATTCAAGCTGAATTATCGTGATTCCGCTGTAAGATACCTCGATAAAAATCGTCTACAAAGAATCCAAAACACTGGTACCTGGCCTACTCGCTCTATCGGAAGATGGATTTCAACATCTACTTATATTAATCGGCTTAGGTGGTTGTCTATGGACAAGCAAGGCATTTTCTAAATTTGTACAGAATTACTATGAATGGTGAACGTACTCTACCACAAAATTCTTTTGCCAAAGAAACCTTCATATTTCCATCAGAAGGAGCACGCTGAACGAAAAATATCTGCAAGAATAACCTCTGCAAGACTAACCTCTGTAACGTATCATGCATAAATTTCTGTCGAATATAAATCAATATCCAGCGTGGTATTACCCAGGGAATTAGTTGTTTTCCGGCAAGCATCTATCAAAACCTACTGTAGAGATGAATATTTCGAGATTCTATTTTAAATATTGATTTTTATACGTTTGCATTTCTCCTTGATACAGTCTACAGGGTCATTTTAATTTTCATTAGAGTATAGTATATGGAATGTTTTTTCACAGCTGGGAGCTTTGTTTTCTAGATAAGGCTCTTAGTAGTCAACAATTTTTCTCTCGGACGAAAATTTCATACATGTATTCGAGCCATGCTAAAGTGGGATATTTTTTGCACTGATGAGAGGTAACATTTCGAAAAAAATTTGTGCGTGATCTACTCGATTGTTTTCAAAGTGCTCCTGCTGCTGGATAAACAGGAAACATCTGGGAGATTAGCCTTGCAGTCTTCAAACTTGATAAATAACTAGTTTTGATTGATGTTTTCTGTCATATTCATGTTGTTAAATTCTATTATCCTGTTTTTTTCTGTTGGGATTAGTTTCTGCAACTGATCCCATGATATGCTTGCTTGCAATGCAATAATACTAAACATTATGTAACTTACTTTGGCGATCCTACCAATAATGTCGCTCGTTCTCTGAAAAGTTTAAATACCAAAGAATTGGACGTAGCCTAAACCCTGATGAAGCATTAGCCTATAGCAGGGCCCCCAAAACCTAATGTAACTAAAAATACCTGCCAAAAACTGAAAATAAATGTCTACAACTGAACGTAGCCTTCAGAACGAATGATAATTCTGGTAAATTCATTAATGAAAACAATAAAGATGAACGTCCAGTGTCGGAGAAATCGGGAGTAAAAAAGTTGACTTTGTCCAAAATTCACGAGATCAATCTCAGTTATGACGTATTGCATTTGGAAGAGAAAAGTTTGAAATTCAACCTTTTGGAAAGTTTAGAAATCAATAGAAATTCGAGTTTATTGTTCAATGATCAAGTATGTATATAGATTTGAATCGTTCGCCTTTATTGGATTCAGTTTGCATCTAGGAAATTGGTACTCGAGATAGATCTCAAAAGTCAGTAAACTGATGGCTCAGGTAAAAATTGTATTTATTGATCTCCAGTCTTATGAGTTTTTCTTAGAAAGGAAAATAATTTAGATAATGGATTTATCATGTAAAAATTCATCAGGCAGTGATAGTTCTAGTGTTTCCAATTATTATAAAAGCACGATACAGAATTTGTACAACAATGAAGTGTTTTTTTTTAAATATGCTTTAATGGATTTTTATCAAGTATCTGTCATTTTTATCATATTTTTGTAAAGCAATAAAGTGCGTGATTCCCTACTTTGATTTGAAATCACATGAATATTATATAATGATTTTTGTAGAACATTTGGCTTGATAAAATATTGAAATTGCTTTTTTTTTAGTATACATAAAGATTATTTTGAAAAAAGCAATATTCAAACAACTAGGTACAACAGACTTGACAAAATAATATATTGGACCTTTTGAATAATAACGATTTAGCTGAGAGTTGACAGCTTTGTTTTGAATAATTAAAATAATCTACTCACATTTGTATCATTTGGGCACTGAAAAGTGATATCTTTCGTATTAGTGCAACTAAACCCTCCTTCACCACAATTACGAAAAAACACTCTTTTGCTTACGGACAAGTCGAAACATAAAACGAAAAGACAAGACAAAAGAAGTTGATGGTGGCACATGTCGAATGAAAGTGATACATTCAACTATTATCGAATACTTTCATGATCGCAATTATCTGCAAATGTTTGTTAACACCTACTCAAAGTTATTTAATGATAAAACATCCTCTTGTCCTTTTATCATATATTGACCGTGACTGTGGCAAATTAGACAACCTCCACACTTGAAATTTATCTTTTAATGTTTCTGCTTGAATATGGATTGAATGGACGTTTAATCAGTTACCAAATCAGGATCCTGTGTTCACGGTGAAAACTATATGCTATTTCGCAAGTATTGAGGTCTCAGAAGTTAACCAAATCATATCTGAAAGGTGGAACCTAACGAGCTGTTGTTAGGTGTACTGTCAATGAATCATGAATTATCAAGCAAGGTGCCTTCCAAGGATCTATATTCGGGTTGCTTTTTTACTTTCACGTATTCGCATCAGTCCACGTGGTGACACATGCGGTTTATACAAATTTCCCTATCACAGAAAAAACACTCCACATATATCAGACAATACCAGTGAATTATAAAGCGAATAAAAATAATCTGAAAGTCAATATATCTGAAGCTGTGCTGATGTGAGGATGAAGATCTTCACGTTGAATCTTCTAGAAAAAAATGAATTATAAGGCATCACAGTTCAATACAGACTCACATTTTGACACAGTCTGCAAATTACGTAAAAAACTGTTTTGCGTTAAGCTTCTTGTCGATCTGTTGGGCTGGAAAAATTCGTAGGCTAACATAGGAAAATAAAATTAATAAAATCTGATTTCAATATTCAATACAGTTGCCTTCAAAGGCGACATAACAATTATGGCGATCATACAATTTTTTGACACCATTTTTATAGTACAATTTGTCTTTAGCCTCAAAATATGCCTCAGTTTCGACGATTACGTCTTTATCAGCGGTAAATTTCTTCAAAGTGAACATTTTCTAGAGGTTCGAGAATAGGAAAAAGTCGCTATGGACCAGACCTGGAGAATACGGTGGATGCGAAAGCAATTCTGCCATCGTTTTCATTGATTTGTGACACGTATTGTCTTGATGAAACAGCATTTTTTTTCCAAATGGGGTCGTTTTTCCGCGATTAAGTCCTTCAAACGATCCAGTAACGCTATATATAATAGAAGATGTTGATGGTTTTACCCCTTTCGAAATATCAGATGAATATTATACCATACGCATCACAAAATACTGATAAACTTGCCAACCGACTGTTGCATCTTTGCACGTTTTGGAGTCGGTTCACCACGTGCAGTTCACTTAGATAACGACTATTTTGATTCTAGTGTAAAATTATGGAGTCACCTCTCCTCCATTGTCACACGAAGACCTAAGTGGATAAAGGTGTTATGTCACAAAACTGAAGTTTTGAGTAAATAGTAATAAACCATCTTGATTTCGAACTTTTTTGTTCCATTGTTGCTTTTAGCTTGCGGTTTTTATTGAATGGGTATATAATAATTATTTTTATTTCCATAAATTTTGATTTGTAAAAAAGTTGTAACTTACGAGAAACATAGAGTTTTATGTACATAGCACCTTTATTTACCAAACTGAATATTAAAGTGAGGTTTGGTTTATATGGATAGAAGAATCAAGTATACTAATGTTTGTTTATTGCTTTCAGAAAAATACACAAAAGCTGGTTATTAAAACATTTGGGTTTTCAATGTTGTCCTCGTAAAACCACCTGTATTCCTCCTCAACAAATTTGATTTGTTCTTTTGAATTTTTTAGCTCATCAAGAGTTAAACCGCCTGTTTTCTGTGTGGGTCTAGTTGGTTTTACTTCACTTCTGTGAAGTACCTTTTTCATTTAAATCAACTGGACGAAATGGTTTATAATCAAGAAAACATGTTATATAATAATAGTAGCCAAATTCGTTCACTTTAATCTATTTGACATCATATCAAAGATTAGTTTTGTCATTTAGAGTATTTTTTCGCTTTCTAAATAAATATAGTTTTCCTGGGATCTTTTCGAAATTATAGAAAACGTTTTTCATGTTTACACAAATACTATTTTTTGTACTTGATGATTTCATAATGTCACGATATTGGTTAGATATAAAAATGGTTTGATATTTCCTAATAACTTTCTCGATACGGCCAAAGTCCCTATCAGAATCAAAATAGCTATGATCTACTTCCGGGAAGTTGTGATCAATTATTTAAAAAAGCAATTTAAAATTAAATATTCATATATTCTTATTCTGTCCGGAACACGAATCAGAACATACAATCAAATGATTTGTTTCTGGATATTCTTTCTTGAGCATTTTACAAAACCGAAAAAGACAACTTGCAATGTTATTGCTGCCTCTATTGGCTACATCCTCAGTCCATGTGAAGAAGTATGATTTCTGTCCCAAATAGATAATACAGTGTATCCCAGAATTGTATAGCCACATTTGACTTAAATATAATGCTTTTGAGGTTGATAGCTTGGGCAGAAGCATAATTTGTTGCAAATCCATAGTGATATAGACTATGTTTTTGTTGGAAAGTGGGTTTTGCCTTTCAATTTTTCGAGATTCGAAAGCAAAGGTGTAGGTGATCAGCAGTATTTCCACCGGAATCGCATACACTACACGCATCGCTCTTGGGGTGACCAAATTGAAAGTTAAATCTTGTTTTGAATATATGACGATACATTTTGTTCAAATACATGTCTTCAAGTTTTTTTTTTACACTCGTTTATGTACATATGGTGTATCTGCGTTACTTTAAGTAACGGGGATAAAATCTGTATGTTTTCATTTGTATTGCATGAATAGTGTTTCTGTGACTTAACACTGTACGTCATTTCTCCTTCGCCAGTAACATAGATACAACTGTTCGTGGGCAATATTTTCATTTTCACAAGTGTTGATCTCATTTTCATCTGCATCATTTTCAATTTCAGATACATGAACTTCATTCAATTCATTTTCTACGTCTACATTATCTGGAGTACTTTTAGTATTAGTTTTTTGTCAAAAAATATTTTTCTTTACATTTTCTCTTCTCAAACAGATGGTATTGTCATTACCTTTTTTATAATCATCATCTAAATCTGAATCTTCACTAGAATAATTCGAATTATCTGAAGGAAAAAATTTGTCACTAGATGATACGCATTCCTGCTCGTCGCTTTCTGCTATATCTAAAATTAAAGGTTCTTTTAGTACAATCTGGAATGAAATAGTAAAAAATAAACAAACTAACATATCAAGCCTTTTGAAGTGGATGGCTTTTGTGTACCCTCTTGAAAAAGCTGCTCACTATGCTCACTTTTGGTACATTTTTGTTGAATGTTTATAGTATTCGAACTGCATTGTACGTCTACAAACAATAATGTATTGTTTCAAATTATAACACTTGAAAAACTAGGTAATCAAAATATTACCTTTCTTCACAGAATTCAACTTTTGATTTTCACACAATATTCTATGAATACGTTACCTCTACTCTCCATTATATTCAAAATATAAAACACAAATCAACTCACTAATCGTTCAAAATTATATGGAGATACGATGCACGCAATTTATGAAACATACCCTCAAAAGTGACATGTCACTGCAACACAACTCGTGCTTACCAAACAACCGTACGTTTTTTACGAAATAAAGGTGTTATGTCCTAGATTTGTGACATGACACTTTCATACACTAAACGGTGAGTATGCTATGCGACATACCACTTTCATCAACTGAAAGTTTTTTCAAATATGTAGTTTTATATATGTATTACCTTATAAAAAGTTAGATTAGGACCTGGGCGCTCAAAAAATAAATAAAATCAATTTTTCCAAAAATGTCACATTACTCCTTTATCCACTTAGGTCTTCACATATCAACGCATGAGGGGCAACCACTTTCGTATACCTAAATATTCTTGCACGATATTTTCAACACGTTCCTTTTATATCTTCAGTGCCCTAGCTATCTAGATCAATCACCCTTTGCGGTCATTCAAAATTAATTTTTGGACTTTCTTTATGTTTTTCATCGGTACCAGCGTGGTTCAAACAAAACTGGCAGATATCTCAATCGCCACAAAAGAAATAACCAGGAAAGAAATTTCTGGCAAAAACATAACAATCTGCAGACAGCAGACAAGCCTTATTAGCCTTGAACAGACAACGTGTTACACCAGGGCTAGTACTTGAGTGCCACCCAGATTTAGCCAAAGCCTCGGTAGATAATAACATGTAAAGGTAATCGCATTGCCGACTCTTTAGCCGAAGAAGCGGCTGGACTAAGAATTTTAGGACCCAGTGGCATCTACGGCCTGATGACTTCGACAATTGCGGAACTAGCCAAACCGCATATCCATGCTCAATCACTAAAGAGATGGAATGAAATCAAAGGATGCATTCTTGCCAGGATCACCCTGGACGACCCTGGGAAGCTGGCGCCGAATAATGTTTATCAAGCCAAGCCTCGGCTTCAACAGTACTTTTTGCCAAAAAGTAATGCTTTATTAACACACGAAACTCATTGATGTCCATTTTCTTCAAACTGTTGCTTCACTCAAAATGATTTATCACACAAAGTAATAGTCCGTCAGCTGTGAAAGTTGTACACGTACGTTTTGAATGTTAGTGTCAACTAACAATCATATGGATGTAATACTAGTAGCGCCATCTGTGTGTTACACCACGAACTTTTCAGCTCACTTGATATATACTTGAAATCTTGTTGAATCTGTAGTATGACACCATTCATTAACATTTGCGATACGGGATTTCGAAGTGGGGTTTGGGAACCTCCGTGAAAAAAAATCATTTTTCACACGTCAGTAGTTCGACCTGGATGAAGAGAATTATGTAGGAGATCGCACCTTCTAATGGTTACGATTTTCAGAATATATACGAGTATTTATGGATCGTTTAATTTTGTTTATAAAAACAGATCAAGTTTTCATTGAATCATCGAATTAATAACAGCCCAACAAAAAATTGTTTTTGAAAACTTTGTTTACTATAATAATAGCTGGTTTTTGTAGATTTTTGTGTGCTGAATCCAAATCTGGTCTTAGTTTTTCTGTATCACCCATAGTTTTTGAGAATTGAGTTTTTTATATAGTTAAAAATCTGTATAGTATATGGTAAAATCAATGAAACACTATGTTAAATCACTATCATGGTTTTTATTTACAGTAGGTTACTTGAAATAATGTCTTGGTGAAAACGCTCACCTTGCTCCTCACCAGCATCTCCCAAATTTTCCGGGAAATTTTCAAGAAGTGGACTTTCAGGCTCATCAAACATCCTAATTTCTCAACATGTTAGCTACAAGGGTACGATATTCTGGGTCTTTTGCATTTCCTAAGAATTTTGTAAGAACTTGCTTGGATGACACCCATGCTTTTTTCTCATGTATGGTCATTGTGGTTTCAAAGTTTACGTCGAACATAATTTTTCGAATGTTGGGTCCTACAAAGACTCCTTCTTCGAATTTAGCCTGTGAAAGGTTTGGAAATTTCTGACAGAGATACTTGAAACAAGGTCCATCTTCAGGCAATGCCTTTACAAACTGTTTCATGAGGCCTAACTTTATATGTAGAGGTAGTAAGAGAATGTTTTTACGATCTACAAGATTTTGCGGAGTCACCATATATCATCCAACCATGAGCCAAATAGCCAATTTTATTCGACACTGTCTAGGTTTTTCTAGCTCTCTTTCATATGTACAGAATGGCCAACAGTTATAGATGTATAAGTGTTACTATTGTGTAATAAAACAGCTTTTGAACTAGTTTTGGAAGAATCCCAGAAGCCTCCAGTCTCCCTTTTTGTATTCAACCCCAAAATCTTTGATCAGACCTGGAATGTCTGAGCAGTACACTAAATCACCTTCTTGTTCAAAAAATTTCGAAAACTACTGCTCTCTCTTGCTATACACATATATGCTAGGTGCAAATGCCAACAAGTTTTTTTCTTTCAGTCTAGAATCACGCAATTTAGCTTTTCCTTCTGTTAACCCAAGATCCCTAACCAAGTCGTTGAGCTCAATCTGAGTAAACAGTTTAGGCTCTATATCAGAAAACATTTCCGTTTGAACAGAATTCAAATCATTTGGAGGTTCTGGGACCCGCAAATCTACATCGCGCCCTACTTACTGGTCGGATGGCGGAAATCAGGTTAGGGTAGCTTATTACCTTCTTGTTTTTCGAGTTATGGCCAGTAATACCAGTAATCATCAGTGTGGTTTCTAGGTTGGCCTGTGAATTATCCAACTCACTTGGGAGATTTACAAGTACCTAGTATTAGTATCCAATTCTCTACCAGAAAAACTATCTCGGACCGAAAATTTCAAAGGCGATTCTATCTATTTCCAAATATTCTCTGTTGTTTGTTCATTATGTTACTTGTGTTATTTTTTCACTAATTATATAATTTCATCCTTGTTGTATAGTTTTTTCTTTTGTACTATTCAAAAAGTGAAATAAATAGATATTATCATTATTCATGATATTTTTATTACTTTTTTCCCTAAGGTTGCGCTGGTCGAGCTCTATCTCCGAAGCCCCAATACATTCGGAAATGTGCGCCAGCATTATCAACCAATGACCACTTCTCACACCGTGATCATTGCCCAAAACAGACGAAGTGAGCCAAGAATGACAGCCTGCTGCATTTGTCCGGCTGAGATTTCTGCCTTAGTGCGGCAAGCTAGCATGATCTTCATATTAGAAAGTATATACATCATCATTTCACCTAAACAACTATATTCACTGAATGGTTTGGATATAGTCTGTGGAGTTCGAAAAAAAATCTTGATATTTTATCAGTTTTCCTTCTCTTGGGGCTATATTCGCCGCGCCAAGAGCTAGAAACTCCCAGACAAATATTGCCTTGCCCTAATGGCCGAGAAGAACTACATCAGGATTATTAGCTTGTATGAGCCTGAGGGTGGGGAATGAATAGTTTCCATAAATTTGACACTTCCCATTTCTTCCAAAGGATTCAATATCCCCGGTGCTGGACATTCTGACAGCAAGTGCATTTGGGTCGCAGGCGCCTCACGGCAGACCCTGCACCTTGTATCAGAAACCTCTATTCCCATCACGCGACTGCGGTAAGCTGAGGTATTGAAGACACCATCCTGGAAGGTCTTGATAAACTCCTCAGTTTCCGACTCCAGTCCACTTGATCTGAGGGAAGCAAAAGTCAGGTGCTTTGATAAGCTGAGATATTCAATATTATTGAAGGAGACCTCATGCATTGGCTTGTCCTTGTGATGCCAAAGAAGAGAAGTGATCTCTGCGGCTTCTCTATAGGCCTTTTTTCGAAACGGGTTTCAATTCGATAACTAAACGGAGTTCAACAACCGTTCGAGCAGCTGCAACAAAGATAAATGCCCCAACTCCTGGTCTCTCATGGTTGCGGACCATGCAGTAAAACGAAGTTGGTGTTCCATTTCAAAGTTTCGGCGATGACATCATTACTCAAAGATAGATCACCCTGTATATTGACTCATTATTTTCAATAACAGTAAACTGAAGACAAACATTGAAATATTTAAAAAAAATTCAAATAATTCATTTAGTTATTAACGTATTTTTTGGTGGGCTGCTATATGAGATCGAATAATGAATGGATTTTTGAAGAATGGTAATACGACTGATTTTTGAAATTTTATTATAACATTTCATTATGAGTTACAACTAGACAAAAAATATCATAAATTATTATATCATCAGCATGAACATTAATGAATATTACTTTTGCAAAAGCGTGAAGCTGTCGATAGACCATGAAAATGGCCGATGTATATATATACAAAAAATTCCCAGGTTTTCCTGGTCGTTCGAGGAAGTCTTGTCTATAAAATATCAACTGGCATATCTATCAATCAAAACACATATTCCTATTTTTGATTCATCATTTGATTTTTCGATTTTTTGTTTTGAACAAGTATTCTGCTGATAGACATAGCAGTTCTTCACTGGCAATCGGAACCAGAATCCAGCATCTTTCACTTCTCTCTCTTTCCCTCACAGACAAAATGGAATAAAAACACGACATCCAAAAATTCTTTCAAAAAAATATGCGCTCCAAAGCATAAATACTATTAGTTGCTTGCGACTTGCAAGCTTGTTTATTTTTAGACAGTCTTAACCAACTACGAACAGAAGGGTATTCTTTAGATCGTTTTGTTCTCGACTATTACAGACGAATGAAAGAACAATAAATAAGATCCCCGGAGTGATATGATTTTAGTTTTCACGTTTTTTCTCTTTTTGTTTCAGTCAATTTCGTCTATTCCATATAAAGAAGTGTAACTTTTCTGAACTACAGCATCCTCCGTATCTATTGATTAAGAATGTTTCAATTTCGATAGCTTAAGCCATGGTAAGGGTTCCTGCACCCATACCAAACCCAACGCCTTTAGGACCAAAGTTTCTGCCGTAGCAACCTGTAAAAAAACATTTTCTATTATTGACCGAGTTGAAAAAATAATTTTGTAAAAGTAACAAGAGCTACATTCACAAGTTATATCTGAGATATCGTTATTTTACCTATCATCATTCTGAATAAAAAAAGAAAAAAATCATGAATGCCAAAGAACGTTCTACTGGCCTCGAACTGTGTGAATAAGTTTGTCTGTTGAGAAGAATCAACCACTACAGATAACGACAGTGAGCAACTACAAACGATGTCGTGAAATGATTGTATTTGTTGGTTGGAGGTTTTATTGAACAATGAATAGAAGTATTGCTAGTAAGTATATTCATTGTGTCAAAATTGTCAAGAGGTGTATCTTTCATTGGAAAACGACATGAGGTCACATCTATGGCTGAGACGCAATTGAGTGATACACAGCAAAGCTGACTGTCATGAATCTGATCATGAGACTTTGATGATAATCTCCGACACCTCACCATAACCTTACATGACCTGTATCTGCAAGCGAGTGTTCAAGAAAATTCGTGGTCAAGTATAGGGTATGAATGTTGGTCCATATGACGTCGTTGATAGTAATATACCTGGTAAACTCTACTGATCAGAACTTCTCAGTAAATATACAGTGCTGGTTCTGGCTCGAAATCCCATGTTTTTCCTATGGAGCTTCATTTTGCAAAATTTCAGACTTTCGAGCGGAACCTTGTGGAACACCCAACTCGAGGTAGGTATGTTCGTTAATAATAGTCGGATTGTCACGTGTATCACATCAAATGAAAGTAAAAATAAATGTTTGATTTATAGACGAAGTCAGAATGACACTAAGGAGTATCTTCGTTGATAGAAAGAAAACTAATGCAGAATTCATCGACAAAGAGAAAAACAAAAACGATACAATGAGGGCACTAAGCGGCATCTTTGTTAATAATAGTTGGATCTCAACGTGCAACACATCAAATGAAAGGGAAACTAATGCAGAATTCATCGACAAAGAAAAAAACAAAGACGATGCCAAGAGGGCACTAGGTTGTATCTTCGCTTATAACAGTCGCTTAGGAAAAAAATGTTAAAATTATTGACAAAGAAAAAAGTCAAAGATGATGCCAAGAGATTACTAATTTGTATCTTTGCTAATAACCATGGCATCGTCTTTGTTTTTTTTTCTTTGTCGATGAATTCTACATACGTTTCATCTTCATTTAATGTGCTGCACTTGACGATCCGACTATTATTAACGAATATACAACTGTGTCATTCTGATATCATCACCAAAAGTACCTCAACAACATGGACACGTTTGAAAATATTTCAGGCAGATATGTCATTAGATAACACCATCTGAAAGTTTCATCAAAAACTGAAATCACTGGCAAATCTGGAGAACTGAATTGAAGAACCGATTGGATTTATGCAGAAACCGCAATAATAGTAAAGCGGTATAATTATATAACATAATTATAATATAATTACAAGACAATGCATATTCAGGTTCCACTGATGAACAGGGAAACAGGGCATAAAAGTAAATGAGAACCACTTTGTGGAGAAAAAGTGGCGTGTACTGACTACAGATTGTAATCAATGCAATTTCACGAGACGAGATCTCTCTGTAAATCCAATCTTTAAATTGAGATATCTGGGAAATTGGATAAACCTAGAAAGCAACGAAAGAAGAAAGGGTGGCAAAAAGTATTCATACATTGTACTCAACTGCAGTCCAGAGAGGAAAATAGAGAAAACTCTGCCCTATTATTTCAGAAGAAGATATCAACACGAACGAAAATGATGAGAGCATCTAGAATTGTTTAAATGCAGCCAGAACATCTATGATATTCATCAAGTTGCTGTAACATGGAATAATAATTGTGTCAACGTTATCCAACGTTTTTTTTTGCATTCAGTGAAAGAAATCATCATCGGCTTGGAACCGTAGAGTTTAAGGGAGAAAAAAGTATGACAAGGGTCTCAAATTGCTAAGACATCAAGAAATAGAAGATATATGGTAAAATTTATGGTATCTTGTAAAAAAAGATGGAAAAAATGAATGAAGCGATAAAATTCATTGTGGAAATTGAGGAGGAAGAAAAAGAATTAGGTAACTAATTCAGATATCTCTCAGAAAAACAGCACTCTCACTGAATCTTTATTCTCCAAGCAGTTTCAGTGAGAGGAGCATATAAGGTTTCCAATCATAAATCCTTCTGCAGGATGATTTTGAATACAAAGAGTGTCATATATGGATAGAAAAGAAAGAGGAAAAGGGGGAGATCCAGAAGAAATTGCGTTGAAAAATTAGATGAAGCTGGTAAAAGTAAACATGAAACACTAAAAGACTGACTTATGATAGAGACAAATAGGAAAATTGGGTTGGAGAAGATATGGAATCTCAATCCAACATATGAAATTCCAGAAGAATGAGGATCCACCTGAGGATATACCTTATTCATGAAATATTTTTGTTTGCAGATCCTCACGCAATAATATCCTAATTGAGATTATGAGATTACTTCCAAGAATGATATGATATTCTATATCTAAACTGAAATTGCACTCCAACCTCTATTGAGCTCACCTCTACAGTAGATATCTCCATTGGGTCCATCGTTAAGGATAGTAGAATCCAGGGAGCGGTTGCAATCGGCACAGCTGAAGCACCTCTTGTGCCAAATTCCGTTTTTGCTGATCATCTGCTCAGCAGCGTAGACGGAGTATCCGCAGCGGCGACAACCTTGACCTGGGGCGGCTTTGGGGCCGCTGTTGGGTCTAGGGTCATGAACAGCCGGTGCGACTGCACCATCGGAGCATACCAGAGTGGGGGCGTGTCCGAAACCAAAACCTTTGGGTCCGAAAAGTTTTCCGTAGCAGGCACGGCAGTGGATTTCCTTGTCGGGTCCGTCGCAGGCAAGAACTGAATCCAGTGGACGGTGGCATTCAGCACAGTTGAAGCATTTCTTGTGCCACATCTGGTAGAAGGAGAAATTAATTTCAGAATACATTTTTGAAGGCAAAGACTGAATAAGTATTCGTGAAAAAAAAATTTTGTACATTATTCAGAAATATACCGGGTATCCTAAAAGTCACAGTGCAGGCTGATATATTCGAATTCTGGAGAAACACGAGAATGTTAGAATTTAGTATATATCTGCAGGCCGTTCCATAAAAATAATCTTCATTGAATAATTAGTTCAGAATGCGGATTAGTTAAAAGAAGTGACGAAAAACAGTGAATAAGTGAAATGAGTGGAAAAATTGTAAAATATAACAGTTGTAGTTCTGAATTGTTAGCTAAAATTATAGAATTTCAATAAACCTGTCACATATTCATTATCAAAAATCCAAACATAGACCTTACAATAGTGGCAGCGATAGTTCATATTTTTTTCAAAGATATTTTATACCACTATAATTGTGATGATATTTTTCTATAAAATTTGCAAATTCCAACTCTATGAAGTTATACTTACGGTTCCTTTCGCCAGCTGCTGTTCGGCAGCAAAGACCATTCCTCCACATCTCGGGCAACCTTGTCCAGGAGGGGCCTTAATCGAAGTCGTGTCGGGGTTGTAGAAGGGTCGGCTTGCGGAAATTTCGTCCTCGCTGAAAAAAACATTTCAGAACTGTAATTTCAACCATGGTTCAATTTGTATAAACAATAACAATGAAATTGTGATGGAAATCATTTGGTTGGTTATATCCACATTCACATCACAAAGGTAACATTTAAAAGGAATATTGACGAGGTTTTTATGTTTACTTTTGATCATACTGACTGCTATATAAATCGTAACTTACGTTAAGCCGTCGGTTTGAAGGAAACCAGATCCACAAGCGAAACCGTATCCGTGAGGTCCCCATTTTTTGCCGTAACAGGTTCTGCAGTAAACATCGCTATCAGGTCCATCACAAGCGTTGATGGAATCCAAAGTCTTGGTACAGTCTTTGCATTTGAAACACTTGCGATGCCACTGACGACCCTTAGCCAAGACCTCTTCAGCAGCGAAGACTACCCCTCCACAACGAGGACATCCTTGGCCTGGCTTGGCCTTGATGGTGGTAGTATCGACCAGAGTAGTTTTGGGAGCTTGATCGCTGATGAAATTGTGGAAAATATTGTTGAGAGTGCGTGAAGATTAATAATTTTGAATATATATAGTATTCTCGAATCATTAATTATGCCACTGAATAAATCAAATACTTTATAAATAACAGAAATAATTATTGAGAAATTGTAGATTTATTGAATGTACGATATAGTTTTCCGTACTTTTTTTTTTCAATTTTGTTATTTGGAATACTTATACTGCCATTCAGTTTTTCTCTCCCCATATACAGTGTGTCCAAGATAAGGATCCTAAGCATGGGAATCTCAGTACCTGTTGGAGATACAGCTTAAGTTAAATTAGGAAAAAGTTGTGTTCTTTAAAGCTTATTTACATGCCGTTTAGAAACTTGAAGAATTTTCATGGCC